AGTAAAAAAACACTAAAAAAAATTTGAATAACTTTAAACTTTTTTTTACAAGAATTAACTCATCCTTATATGATATTATCAATTATTTCTGCTTATTAGACTTAAAAAGTGTAATTATTATAAAGAAAAAACATGAAATCTAGTCAACAACTATTTTCTCTCATTTATTTCCTTCTAAACAAGCAAATGGTTTATATCTAACTTCTAGACTGAAACTTTTTTCAACGAATATCAAGATACGTAGGAAATAAGTTTTCTCGTGAAATATTTGACATTCTGAAAGCTTAGGTAATGTTGTTAGGCCGGCAAACAAAACAATTTAAAGTTTACGATTTAGTTTTATGATTTCAATTGTTATTTAAAAATAAGAGGAACGAATTAAAAATACATAAGTGTATATTTTCACTTATTTTCTTATTAAAAAGTTATATTATTTCGTTAGCGAATTTCTTCCTATGTACAATTTTAATTGTTGTTTATGTGCAAAGATTGTTAGTGCTTTTTAAAAGCGTATCCAGTAGATATAAAACTGCAGAGAGGAATTCGCGTAGGCACAAACAACGTCTAAAACACACGCACAGTGCCCAGCCTCTGAGGTTACAAAACTGTAGACTTCAGCATGACGGGACATTTTTAGCAAGTCGTCGTCTTACGTTTTTGTTAAAAAAAACTGTATGACATTATAGAGCCCTGTATATAACACTAGTCCAGTGCCTAAAAACCTATTTTTTAAATTCATATCTTAAAAAATGTAGATAACGAAAAACATCGCATAATTTTATCGATCCGACAACTTTTAAAGAATTTTCTCCCATTAGGTATAGATTCATAAAAAAGCGAATATTTTACATTTGTATACTTTTAAGCTAAGATATATAATAAATGCTGAAGCTCATATTTTTTTGCACCTATCAATAATCTATTAATAGGTACATCTTGAAAATATAAAATGACGTGGCAGTTAAGAAATTCCAAATTCTAATACAAGCTCTTAGAATGTTGATAAATTAATTTTAAAATAAAAAAAGGGTTTACATTTAGCAAGGTTATCTTAATGCATATAGAATCCTAAGAATACATTCAACTGATTCGCCCAATAACTAAAAGTTTTCCTCACTTTTCTTGCAGAATCGGAAAGCCACATAATGCACGCGGATGCCCTGGCTGCAGGTTACCCGGCTGCCTCGCAGCCCCACAGTCCGATCGGCCACGCCCTCAGCCCCAATGGCGTTGGACTGGGATTGAGCAATAGCAGCAACCAAAGCAGCGAGAACTTTGCGCTCTGCAACGGAAACGGAAATGGTAATGGGGGCAGCGCAGGAGGCGGAAGTGCCAGCAGTGGCAGCAACAACAACAATAGCATGTTCTCGCCCAACAACAACCTGAGCGGAAGCGGAGGTGGCAGCAGCAACAGTCAGCAGCAATTGCAGCAGCAACACCAACAGCAGCAGCAGCAACAACAGCAATCGCCGACGGTTTGTGCCATTTGTGGAGATCGGGCGACGGGTAAACATTACGGCGCCTCGAGCTGCGATGGCTGCAAAGGATTCTTTAGGAGGAGTGTGAGGAAGAACCACCAGTACACCTGCAGGTATGATGAGAAAGTCTTTTATTTGGGTAAGACCCAACAGTAATGTTAAGTATTTTAAATATATTAAGGGGTCACCCCCAAATACGAAACCATTTAACCATTTCTTTGTAACTTTTAAATAATAAAAACCAATTTTTTATATCAATTAAATTAATATATGTAAGATCCTTCCATAAACAGTCTACCATCTTACTCAACTCCACTTTTACTTGCTAGATTTTCGCGGAACTGCGTGGTGGACAAGGACAAGCGGAACCAGTGCCGCTACTGCCGTCTGAGGAAGTGCTTCAAGGCGGGCATGAAGAAGGAGGCGGTGCAGAACGAGCGGGACCGGATCAGCTGCCGGAGGACCTCCAACGACGACCCGGATCCGGGAAACGGGCTGTCAGTGATCTCACTGGTCAAGGCCGAGAATGAGTCGCGCCAGTCGAAGGCAGGCGCTGCCATGGAGCCGAACATCAACGAGGACCTCTCCACAAAGCAGTTCGCCAGCATCAACGACGTCTGCGAGTCGATGAAGCAGCAGCTGCTTACCCTGGTGGAGTGGGCCAAGCAGATCCCGGCGTTTAACGAGCTGCAGCTGGACGACCAGGTGGCCCTGCTGCGAGCCCACGCCGGTGAGCACCTGCTCCTCGGTCTGTCGCGCCGCTCGATGCACCTCAAAGATGTCCTGCTGCTGAGCAACAACTGCGTGATCACCAGGCACTGTCCAGGTAATGTTCACAAATCACGAATTGCGCCTAGAATATTTTGTAACCATGTCTTTATTTTCCCCCGCAGATCCTCTTGTGTCACCCAATTTGGACATCTCACGAATTGGCGCCCGCATCATCGATGAATTAGTGACGGTCATGAAGGATGTGGGCATCGATGATACTGAATTCGCCTGTATCAAGGCCCTAGTCTTCTTCGATCCCAGTGAGTTTTTCCCGAGGCTAACCAAGTGAACCTATTAAATATTTTATAACAATCCCTTTATAGACGCCAAAGGCTTAAATGAACCACATCGCATCAAATCGCTACGGCATCAGATACTCAATAATCTCGAGGACTACATTTCTGATCGGCAATACGAGTCACGCGGTCGCTTTGGCGAGATCCTGCTCATCCTGCCGGTTTTGCAGTCCATTACCTGGCAGATGATCGAACAGATTCAGTTTGCCAAGATCTTTGGAGTGGCCCACATCGATTCGTTACTTCAGGAAATGTTGCTTGGAGGTGCGTAGATATACAGCATTGTGATTTATTTTAAATGATAATTTATAATATTATTTATTTGTGTTTTACAGGAGAGTTGGCCGACAATCCTCTGCCGTTGTCGCCGCCCAATCAGTCGAATGACTACCAGAGTCCCACCCACGCGGGCAACATGGAGGGTGGCAGTCAGGTGAACTCCTCCCTGGACTCTCTGGGCACAACTGGTGGCCCCAGCTCGCACACTTTGGACCTGGAAGTGCAGCACATCCAGGCTCTGATCGAGGCGAACAGCGCGGATGACTCCTTCCGAGCCTACGCGGCCAGCACAGCAGCCGCAGCCGCTGCAGCCGTCTCGTCCTCCTCCTCTGCGCCCGCATCCGTTGCCCCGGCCGCGATCTCGCCCCCGCTCAACAGCCCCAAGTCACAACAGCAGCACCAGCAACATGCGACGCACCAGCAACAGCAGGAGAGCTCCTACCTGGAAATGCCCGTCAAGCACTACAATGGCAGTCGGTCCGGACCGCTGCCATCACAGCACAGTCCACAGCGCCTGCATCCCTACCAAAGAGCGGTCGCCTCGCCGGTCGAAGTGTCCAGCGGTGGCGGAGGCTTGAGTCTGCGCAATCCCGCCGACATCACGCTCAACGAGTACAACCGCAGCGAGGGCAGTAGTGCTGAGGAACTGCTCCGGCGCACTCCGCTCAAGATCCGGGCTTCGGAACTGCTCTCCGCATCCGCTGGCTATGGAATGGGTGAGTACCATAAATATACAAGTAACCTACCCTGTAAAAACCATTCATTAAAATATTAATACTTTACTTTAACACACTTCCTAAATACAAATTAAATATTACAAGTTATGACTGTAATATAGGTATATATTATTTCAATAGTACCAAAACCTTTCTAAAGTGTAATTAAAGATTCTTATCAAAGCATTAGTATTTCCGTTATCAATACTAAAAACTACGCATCTTATGAATATAAGAACACAATGAAAACCATTTTTAATATATATTTCTTTGTTTATATTTTAGAGCCCTGTCGGATGACGCTGAAACAGGAGCCAGAGACTGGCTACTGATGAAACAATGATCGGGTGCAATATGCAGTTTGCAATAGGACATCCTTTAAGCACACTCCCCACAAACATACAGACCCTCTCTTGCTGTACTCCCCACCAAGTGCTATACAGAGATGAAATTGAAAATGAAGAACTTACTTAATTGTTATGCCTTGAACCATTTTGATACTTTTTATTAGTTCTTAAGTAGGTATCTTGGAAATTGTTGCTTAATTTTTAAATGTTTAACGCAGTTGCAATCTATTTTTGGAGTCATATTTTGCTCAAGAAGTTTATTATACACAACTATATACATATACACCATCTAGCATGTACTGAGTTTGTTGGTTATTTGGTTATCTTATACTTGTGCGTGGATCACAAAGCATTCATATAGGCCATGCAATATATTGTTTTAGGTTAGGGTGTTGTCTAGATTATGCGCTGAAAGTGTAATATATATTTAATGCTAAACAAAGAACTATTTTTATATGAGTATGTATAATATACAAACTATTTCTAAGATGGCTGAATGAATAAACACAAAATCAAAATAAAAATTGGAGAATGTGAATGTAAATCGATTCCCACCGCTGTTTTAATTGTTAATGGAAACTTAAGGCATGTATATTTGACATCATCAGACGACGGGTTGTAGATCAATAGTCATTAAAATGAAAAATGTATAGAAGCAGACGGACAAACTTTACATAAAAATTTCTCTCCCATGATAAGCGCATATAAATCTTCTATAGACAGTATACAAAATATTTGTTGATACAGAAATTAATTTCCTTAACAATAAAATATAATGGTTATAAATCATATTCCAAATTGATACCTTTCCAAGCCCAACAACATCCTTTTGAAGAAGTTTCTTTCTTGCTTGATCTTCAACAACTCCCATTACCGATGTCAAAAGTAGTGACGATAACAAACGTTTTGTTATTACATTTTTGAGATACTTTCTACAATTTTTATGGCGAGACAGACTTCTGACCAATATTACAATACCCCAGCAACGGTTAGTATTAAAAAGATACAATTTCAAACTGTTGTACAAATAGAACAGGGAAACATTTCTTTTGAAGCTTCCTAAGGGATCCGTCCCTTAAAGTAGATCCTCAGTTCAACAGAAGACAATTCGAGTAACAGAGTACAAAGAACACTTAACGTTTATTTATCAATATTGCTAATGCCCGTTTTTTCGACCTGGGCGAGGAGTTCCTGAAGCTTGTTGTCGAAGAGTTCGCAACGAATGGGCATTTCCAGGGAGTAGAATGGATTTTTAAGGACATAGTCCGAGTACAGCTCGTAAACCTTCCGCAGCAGCAGATCTATGCCATTGAGACCCGTTTCCGAGATGACGATGAACTTGATCCCGGTCAGCGTTTGGAAGCAGTGCAGCGTGAAGGTGTCCGCCTCCAGGAGTTCTATCCCGGAACTCTTGGGCTCCGGACTCAGTTGGCTGGCAATGGCGAACAGTGGATAGAACATGCTGGCTAGGAAGATCTTCTCGTTGGTGGTCATCTTAGGCCGGCTGAACTTTAAGTTGATGGGATAGTTCTCCGGTGCCTCCAGCGTCGTCCTCACATCGCGTCCATCGTCCAGGGTGACTCCATTGACGGGCATTCCATTGACCGCCACCAGGACATGGCCAACTGTAGGAAGGGAATTATATAGATCCCTGTAGCACCCTTATTCCAGGACACACCCACCATTAATTCCATCCTTCCTGTTGAACGACACCGATACCTTCTTGGAATCGTAGTCCAGCACCAAGTCCAGTGGGTATGTGAAGGTCTTCTCGTGCTCGATGCGCGGCACATTGTTGTCCAGGTTGAATATAAGGCCACCCGATTTACTAACTATATAGACCCCATATATAATCATTGCTAGCTATGGCTAATTTTGTGTGATTTCGGAATGTTTTCTTTTCTTTGGGTGCGAATTAGCGATGGTAGTGCCAGCCAGCTGTTTGCCTCGGAACTAGTTTATTTCTTGACTCTCGTTCCGGTTCATAACAACAGGCATTTAACAGCATGCACTTAACAGTTGGCTAACATTTTTTTATAATATTAATTTTGTTCAGATAAAAAATCCGATTTTTAAAAAGCTATTCAAATAGTTGTTAAATTAAGCTTGGGTGCTATCATAATTGTAGTTAACTTAGATGAAACGCAAAAAACCACAAATATTCAAACTATTAAATTAAAGCATACAAAAGAACAGCACTATTTATTAAAAAATATATATTTAACGATACTTTTTTTATATTAAAAATAAGGAACCAGCACAACTATCATATTCTAGACAGATCGAACTGGCTCGGAACCAGAACCGCGTCTATCGATATGAGGTGAACTAGTTCGCGGGCGAACAGCTGGCTGGCATTAGGATTAAAAATAAACATAATTGATTTTCTGCCTGAAAGTATACGTAAACGCGTAGGCGCTCCCACCTGGTAGTGCACCCGATTGACCGACTTCCAATCTCCACGGACAACGATGGGTTCCGACGACCAGAGCTCCGGGGACAGGATCCAGAAGGGATTCCAGATCAACTATATGATTCTGCGGGACGCCGACAGTGGCAAGGTTATATGGCAGGAGAACAAGGACTTTTCGGCACCGGACCTGGAGCACGAGGCTCGGGTGCCGGTGAAGATACTGGACATGCGGGCGGTTTCCCGCGAGATAAACTTTAGCACCATTGAGCCCATGGAGAACTTCCGACTCGACCAGAAGGTGCTCTTCAAGGGACGCATCATGGAGGAGTGGTTCTTCGAGATGGGGTTCGTGGGCGCCAACACCACCAACACCTGGCAGTCGACAATTGAGGCGGCGCCCGAGTCCCAGATGATGCCCGCCAAGGTCTTGAACGGCAATGTGACGATCCAAACCAGTTTCTACGACAACGAGACACTCATCACCAAATCGGTTGTGCGCCTGTACTACATTTAGGCGATTGTGAGTCATCTGCCCAAAGCGACCAGGTGTTCTCCCATCCACTCACGCCTTCTTCTGGATCTTCTTCGAGGTGTTCTCTACAAACCATGCATACTTCGCTTCAAAGTACTTCTGCATTTCAATGCAATTGTTTGCGCGTTTATGAACTAGTGTAGTCTAATGCATTTTAATCTAATTTTACATTTATAACATTAATTTATTAATATATTAATAAACAATTAACAATTGTAATGCTTATAGATCAGGAAATGTGTCAGCTCGAACGCAACAAGCATACCTATGTACAAATCTTCTGAAGACTATCAAAGATGGACTAAAAATAGCTCCAGAACGTTGTGTCATTTGAGAAAATATGCATGTGTAGATCTCTGTACCACTTGTAATCAATCCATAAAGTCTACTAAAATCTGTTGAATTATAAAGTATGAGAAATATTTTAACATATAAAATGTATCCTCATTGGAGAAAAAGTTGTCTATGGAATGCGTGTTCTACTCGAAAAACGAAAAAGTACTTAAATCTGTCAAAGTTGTATTAGATATAGCCTAGCTGTACGCGATTTGTCAGCAAATATAAGCAGATGTTGAAAGAAAATTTGTGAATCCACTTCTTTGGCATGCAAATTGGAAATGTTTACAATACATACTTAGCTTAGCTTAAGCCAAAAGATGAAACGAATAGAAGTCATCGGGTTTTATACTATTAAAAAGAGCTTAACATAATGCAATTTCTCATCGGAAATATGCCTTAGGGGTCAATCGTAGAACAGGTTGAGTCTGGCTCTCTTTTACTTTCATGCCAACGAGCATAATCCCATCCAGATCGCGGGCTTGCCTTTCGGCTATACATCGCCAAAGTTGGCATTTAGACTGGGCGCCGATGAATATTCAACGATTGGAATCGCGAAAAGTGGCGATCAAGTTAAGAGGAAGATTTGGACAGAGTGCTGACTTGACCCCATTTTTTCGAAATAGAACCCGTGCCCGGTCAAGAGTCACTTGAAGATGCCGAGAAAGTCTTCTTGGTGGGCAGAGATCTGAGCTAGCAAACAGTTCGATTCCATCTGGCAAAACCAGCAGATCGAAATAAAGACAAATTATAAAATGGCGAGGTTTAGTGGAGTTATCCTGCTCCTAGCAATCGTCCTTTTGGCCCTTTTCGTGGCCGATGGCCTAGCGGAGAAGAACACCAATAGACAAAAGCAGCAGAACCCCAGGCCCGGAAACCAAGGCTTGGGTAACCGCAAAAACAAGCGTCCAAAGCCCCAACAAGGCCAGAAACAGAAGCCCAACAAGCAACAGGTGCAGAATGCCCAAGAACCCAAGGTGTTCACTGCAACGGTTCCCGATTTGGGCAGGCTCCGAGGCCGAACTCTCAACACCGATTGGACTGGAAAGAAGATAATGCAGTTCCTAGACATTCCCTATGGAAAAGCCGAGAGATTTAAGGTAGGTTACTATTGACATCACAGGTAATAGAATCATTTTATTCTCAGTGGTACACGAACGTTGGCCAACTCATCCCCTTGTGGCTTATTTGTTATTTGACCTGCGTCGCTCGCCGTCCTCGATAGTATAGTGGTTAGTATCCCCGCCTGTCACGCGGGAGACCGGGGTTCAATTCCCCGTCGGGGAGAATGTGAAAGCATTTTTTTTTATTTTGTTAAAATTAATTTTTTTCAATTTAATAATTAAAAAAAAACTTTGTTTTCTGATTTAACATTTTTGACAGCCGCAAGATTGTTAGACAAAAAGTCTATTATTCAAAAATTGAAATAAAGAAGTTCAGTAAATCTTATTTTCAAATATGTTAATTCAATAATAAGAACCGATTATTCCTCCTAATAGTAAAAACACAATAATAAATTGCTATTTTGAATAAAAAAACTAAACTTTCTCCCCGACGGGGAATTGAACCCCGGTCTCCCGCGTGACAGGCGGGGATACTAACCACTATACTATCGAGGACGGTGAACGCCGCTCGCCAAATACCGGATACGAAATGCCGGCACAGAAAACTATCTAACTCAAGTTTAGAACCAAATCGTGCAGCAAACAATAAAAGTCTAAAAATAGGGAAAAAAGATACATTAACATATATATTTATTAAAGGTATTGCAAGACAAATTGTCTACCAAGCTATAAATGAAAGCCACTTATAGCTGCGCAGGACTAATTAAAAATTCCTAATTTTATTTTAGAAATATTTAGATTTACTTTAAAATATTTCACTTACTTAAACTTTTTTCCCCAAAGCCAGCTGAGCCAGCACCAGCTTGGAGGGGCGTCCTTCCCGCCCATCGACCCCACGCCGGCTGTCCATCCATTCAGGATCTGATCGTATTCGCTAAGCTGGAAGAGAACGGCTTCGATGTGGAGGACTGCCTGCGGCTGACAGTGAGCACCAAGGCGGTATGTAAATTTGTAGCGTTCAACGATAATCTTAAATTAATACAAAATAATTTTTGTAACAGTTTTTTGGTTTACCATTTGGATGTTTATCATTCCTGTCTTATAATGCTAGAAAACTGGGTTAAAAAGTGTCTAACGAAAGTCCCCACCTCGTTTCAGATGGAGGGCAAGTCCCTACCGGTAATGGTGTACATCCACGGAGACTTCTTCTACGACGGCGACTCCGTGGAGGCAGCTCCCGGGTATTTGTTGGAGCAGGATGTCGTCCTGGTGTCCGTGCGCTATCGCCTTGGACCTTTTGGCTTCCTGTCCACGCTGACCGACGAGATGCCTGGCAATGCAGCGGTCACCGATATTATCCTGGCGCTCCAGTGGGTGCAGAAGCACATCGCATCCTTCGGTGGCGATCCACAAAGAGTGACCCTATTCGGTCAAGTGGGCGGGGCAGCTCTGGTAAACGTCCTCACCCTGAGTCCAGCGGTTCCGGCCGGCCTCTTCCACCGCGTCATCTATCAGTCGGGCACCGCCCTGTCGCCCGCCTTCATCACGGATGCACCGCTGAGTTCCACCAAGGCCATCGGCCGGATTGCGGGCTGCAAACAGCCCACCAAGGTTGATCAGCTGAACAAGTGCCTGACCCGCCTGAATGCCACCATGCTTCTGGCCGCCTTCAGTGTCCACGGCGAGGACCAGCCCTCGTTGTCGGGTGGAGCGTACGGCGGAGTGCAGCTCGTAATCGGAGGTCCTTCTGGCATCCTGCCGGAGCATCCAGGTCGCTTGCTGGCCGCCGAGAAGTTCCAGGCCTATCCCACAATGGGCGGTAGCGTCAAGCACGGCGGCACCTTTATGCTGAGAGGTAGGTAGAGAGTTCATATGACTCCATTTATGTGGTTGATATCTTTAAACGCATTGAGAAATCCATAGACATTTTTTTTACATTTTTACAAGATAATCCACAAATAGTATTTATGTAGTTTATTAACAAAATAGTTTATTGTAAAAGAATATTGAAACGAAATCTCATAACAATTTTATATTTTCTTCTTGGCAGACATTTTTGCGGACATCTTTAACGAGACGATTTTGGATGACAAAATGACGGGACGCCAGTACATCGACACCATTATCGAACAGGCCAATGGCGCAGATCCCACTGGATCGTGGAGGGAGTTCTCCGACGAGGAGATCTTTTCTGATGCTGATGTTAAGAACGGCACCTTTAAGCGCCTGACCCCGGGTCTCATTGATGTAAGTGTTATTTATCACTAGTTATCAGAATTGATCGTAAGACCTTTGATATGTTAATAGTTATTTATATCAATCAAGAAACGATTGCATTTTTATTTGTTTTTTTTTTATTTTTTTTACAGCTCTGCAGCACTATTTCTCTAAAGAATCCTGTGCTGCTGGTCTTGCAGGCCAACGCCAAGAAGCTGCCCAACAGCACTTACCTGTACAGCTTCGACTACGAGGGCGAGCAGAATCGCTATGCCACCGATCAGAGCGAGGCCAGCTTCGTGCCCTTCGACATGGGGGTTTCGCTTACGGACGACAACCTGTACCTGTTCCCCTGGCCGCGTTTCATTTCCCTCAACTCGAACCGCGATCTCAAGGTGGCCAGGCGCATGGTGGCCCTGTGGACGTCCTTCGCGGCGACGGGGGTTCCCCAAGCACCCGGTCTGCCCACCTGGCCGACCATGAGCGACGAAACAGGACCCTACATGAGGATTGGTCGCACCGTTAGTTTCGGCGACAATTACCTGGACGAATACCGCATTGCCGTTGAGGAGGTGAAACAAGGATACAGCTTGGTCAACCAGGACTACTACGATTTGGAATCGGCTCTGCTGGCGGCCAGCAAACAGGATCAATTGCCCGCCTCCGACGAGGAGGATGACCAGGAGGATGAAACCGAAGGGGAGAGGGCTGCCAATGAGGCTCGCGGCCAGAACTTGGTCTTCATTGCCAGGAAGTCCACGCGCACTCAGAAGCAGTAGAGCCACGAAATCATTTGATCCACGCTTTCCTTTTATTTATTTTGACAAAGAACTTTCCTAATATATTTCCGACATCAACACAAGCGCTTTTTTATTTCAAGGGATTTTTTATTGGTACAGAATAACCTAGAAAATGGTAGATCAAAGCATTTGCAGTTGCATTTAAAACTTTTTAGCTCTGTAAGACTAAAGAAAATACAATTCGGTTTTTTAAAATTTTTGGAGATTAACATTAGAAATCATTTAAGTTGCCAGTAAGATACCTAATTTACCAAATAGCTGGCCTCAACAATTTTAGATTATTCAAAGTGAGAGATATGGGCATCGGAAATCTGATCGAATTTTATATGTTGGCTTAACCTGATGCTAAGAATAACTGTGAAAAAATCGATCGACCGCGGCAAATCTGCTTTGATTTAAAAAAGTAAATTTGCTTTCTTTAGCGGCCCCATAAATCATCTTTTGGCTGCTCAGATGCGATGAGAGCAAAACTCTGGCTGCGATTCAAATTAGAATTAATTAAGGAACATAATAAAGCTTAATAACTCATTTGTTCTTTGGACTAATTATTTTGTTAGCTTGCGATCAGAATTGGCAGACATTGATGGGAAAAAATAATCGACTTGCTTTGATTAACTTACTAATTTTAAATGGTCATTACAGATATGCCAATAAGTTGTGGTGGTCATACGAAAGACTTAAAGGCTTTTGTTTTTTCAATAAACATTAGATCAGTCAATTCATTAAAATGTTGTTTACATACAAGGTAAAGGTATTTATAAAGTCTGATTCAAAGCTACATATTGAGCTTGGCCTCCAAATCCCTTGACATTGAGATCTAAAAAAATATAATCATAAAAAGAAAAGTTTTACCTATCCACTTTCTAGCTTCCTTATAAAGTGGGGTTTCCCTACTTTGTCTATAGTTAAATACCCAAATAATGGAATTATCTCGTGCGATTAGTGAGAAGTCGTTGATCTTTTTTGGCACCGAAGCGTCACGAATGCTTTCTCCCGCAGCTCGCGATGATGATGATTGATATTATACCTCGTACTGTGAATACCAGTAGCGAGGAGAATTTCTGGAATCAATTAGGTAAAATTTAAAATTTAAATCAATTCCCGCATCTGTTTAGAAATTCATTTTGTCTGGCGCTACCCGCACTTTCATCGTCGTGAGAAAGACAAACCAAGTTAATGGAAGATGCTCAATGTTTGATGGTAAATATTCGCATCAATATGAGCGACTAATTACTGAACTATCGGACAAATCAGAAGTTAGGGCCAGCGGCTGCTCTTTAAGATTTCGCTTTTACTTGCAGATGATCAACCAAGCAGCTAAGCAGCTGAATCCAGAGCAGCGAAATCTGTTCTTGCACTAAGAGAAAGTATTATAAACAAATATTTTTCAAACGTTTTTCTTTTAATTGATGTATTTTGTTATTTTTGGTTCATTGAAAATACTTGGGATTACCCCAATAAATAAAAACATTTTCCGGAATTTTTTTTTTAATTTAAAATATGAACGGAAAATAAATTAGATCCATACATTAAGAACTACTTTGGTGACGTAACAATAGAATTGGATTTTATAATATTCTGTAACAGACAAAAATAAATTGTGGATAAATGATTTGAGAATAAATGAATTGTTAGGTATTTTCATTATTTTTTTTAATTATCAAAAATGTAAATATTTCTTCGTGTGTATCTATTAGCATAAATCTGAAGCTCGAGCCTCGGGGACGCCGCATCATTTGCAGTTTATTTCGCTTTTTGTTTTAGCCAGTTTCCGTTTGCGAACTCTTCATTTGGCTATTTCGGTCAGACATGGGGTGAAACTTCGGGTCAGAGCGGACTAAAATCTATTGGTCCCGGCCAGTCACAGATCAGTTGCGTTCGGTGCGCTAAAGAGAGTGTTGGTTCGATCCGCGGTATCCTCCGAAAATGCAGCTCGAGTGCTGGCTAATAGTGTGCGTGGTTTTAGTCCTCCAATCGGGTGTGGAGTCTAGGGTGCGTGGCAGGCAATACGATGAGGAGAAAGACACCATTGTCGAACTGCCCAAATTGGGCAGCATTCAGGGAAAGATTCTCGAAACCGCCTGGACAAAACGTGAAGTGCTGCAGTTTGTAGACGTCAGATATGCAGAACCTCCAACAGGATTGCATCGTTTTAAGGTATAACAGTTCCTAAGACTTGTGATTTATGGACTAGAATTAAAATGTATGTTATTCATAATACTTAAAAAACTGGAAATAGCTGAAACAGAAGCTCTAAAGTGTGTCATCGGAACAAAAATGACTAAGCTACATATTTTATGCAAAAAATTAAAATCGTCGGTATGCAAAATAAGGTAAACGCAAAAGAGACTCGCAACGAATTCCAAATAGAAATGTTTCATTTTATTGAACGTCTGGTTTCTCTGAACTTAAAACTTTCAAAATTATGTAAATTTCTGCGGTGGTAATAAATAAACAAACAGAAAATGATTCTTAAAAAAGAAAAAAAAAGGAATACCTCTCTCCCCGACGGGGAATTGAACCCCGGTCTCCCGCGTGACAGGCGGGGATACTAACCACTATACTATCGAGGACTTGAAACAATCCTTGTCCAATTGTTCTTATCTACCACCGGTGCACATTTTTCACCTCTGCCTTTCCAATCGGATCAGATTGGGGAAAACAGGTGGTATTATTAGATTAGGTTCAAGATAAACAAAATCAGTGCGTCATAACAACAGCAAATATTCTGTTAATGGGAGGGGTTTGGTAAAATAATAATGTTATTATTTTAATTTGACTTTTTATTCAAGTTATGTCTTAAATATTAGTTCTTTATTTACCTTACCATTTAATAGGCTCCCCGGCCGATTGAGCCTTGGGAGGACGTAATGGATGCCACAGCGGAGAAGATTGGCTGCCCCTCGGTAGTTTCGATGGACTCACTTCGGCAGCTGGATGACGTTTTGGACGTAGAGGACTGTCTGACCATGACCATCACCACTCCGAATGTGACCGCCCGTCTGCCCGTTCTCGTTTACATCCACGGCGAGTATTTGTACGAGGGCAGCAACTCGGAGGCGCCGCCGGACTATCTGCTCGAGAAGGATGTGGTTTTGGTCACGCCCCAGTACCGCCTAGGCCCCTTTGGCTTTCTGTCCACGAAGACGGATGAGATTCCCGGGAATGCCGGCTTCCTGGACATCTTCCTGGCCCTGCAGTTCATAAAGCACTTTGTCAAGTATTTTGGCGGTGATTCGTCGCGGGTTACGGTAGCTGGACAAGTGGGCGGAGCAGCCATTGCCCATCTGCTCACGCTGTCGCCGATGGTGCAGCGCGGCCTCTTCAGCCAGGTGATATACCACTCGGGATCGGCCATTATGCCCATCTTTCTCGAGGAGGATCCGCGCAAGCATGCGCAGGAGATCGCCAAGAAGGCCGACTGTCAGATGGTCACAGTGCGGGACCTGAACACCTGTCTAATGGAGCTAACGGCCCTGGAGTTGCTTACTGCCTTCATGGAACATGCGGTGAGTAGTCCGTAACCGTAATATCATAAATAGAGGTTAGCGGTATTAAGAGATCTAAATTGTAATACTTTATACTTCAGCTGGAGAAATCTGACCTTGGCATTGGGCACACAGGTGGCATACAGTTCACCATTGGCGGGCCAAGTGGAGTGCTGCCCAAGCATCCGTACGACCTAATGCTGGAGTCGAACTTCTCCTATCCCGCGATGGGGGGCTGTCCGAAGAACGCCGGGTCGCGGGTTCTCAACGAGATCGTGGACAATGACTTCGAGGGAAAGATTCCGGATGACGAGTACAACACATACAATTACATAGACCACGTGATCCGCCAGGTGGTGGGCACTGACAAAACGATGCTGCTCACCAGCTTCGTCACCCACGATTTCTTCAACCGTCCGCTGCTGGAGAACGGCACCTTCGACACTCTTATCCCCAGGCTAATCGATGTGAGTAAATGTGCAAATCCAAAGAGAGTTTTAAGCTCAGCAGACACATTTTAAGATCGTTAGTGGGCGATTGTTGGCGTTAGAGGGGGCATGGCGCTCGGCTGAAATAAATATGCGCTGCGTAGGAAGCCCAAGAATATGTGTGGGAAATCTCAACCTTCTAGCTTTTGTAGTTTCCGAGATCTCAGTGTTCATACGGACAGACAGACAGACGGACAGACGGGCTAGTGACCCTGATGAAGAATATATATACTTTATAGGGTCGAAAAGGCTTCCTTACTCTACGAGAAACGGGTATACAAAGAGAACATTTAAAATAACCTAAGAGCTTTGACTTCTTTCAGGTGGCTGGCACTCTCAACCACAAGCTGCCCGTTATGCTGGCCCTGAACATGAACAACAAACACAACCCGCACAACACCTTCCTCTACTCGTTCGACTATGCGGGCGAGTTCAATCGCTACAAGGAAATGGACGAGGAGACCAACATGCAGAGCCCCTTCAAGGCGGGCGTTTCGCTGACGGACGAGGCCCTCTACCTGTTCCCCTACCCCGAGCACGTGACCCGTCTCAGCCCGCCGGACGTGACGATGGCCCACCGGATGGTGGAGCTCTGGACGAACTTCGTGATCAGTGGCAATCCGTTGGGCTCCCATCGCATCGGACTCTGGCCCCCGATGACCACGCTCTATGGGCCGTACATGAGGATCGACGAGACGCTGACCATCGGGGGCAACTACTTCAGCGAGTTCTCGGCCACCACGCACGACGAGGGGCTGGGTCACAGTCTCATCCGGGAGATCTACTATCTGCGAAGCCGCAGCCGGAAGCGGGCTCAAAATAAGCGCCGGAAGCAGCTGGCCGCCTCCCACGACAGCAGATCGAAGAAGGTCGGCGGACGCAAGAGCCTGGTTAAGCGGCCCAATCGCAACAAGATACGTTTTTGAGTACTGGTAGACTTAGAATTTCTAGAATTAAATAATTACAATTATACAGGTTATTCAAAAATTATTTATTCCAGAAAAAACTGGCCTTGAAAACTGATAAATTATAATAATCAAACATCGCACCCAAGCCACGCCTTTCATTCTTTTGGATCATAGTATAACGCTGCTGATTTTGAAATATAATTTGTATATTTTGAAATAAGAAGATTATTATACAAAATGGTATCATCTACTGTTGTCTGGGCAGGAGCTTAACGTGCTGCGGACCGTTGATAAGGTTTCTCAGTTGCGAAAATTGACGAAGAGAATTGCGTTGCCTCTCTGCCTCGAGGCGGTCCTCCTCCTCCTGTTGGGCCCTATACCGCTCGTCCTCCAACCGCTCGGCTTCCTCCTGCTTCTCACGTAGCTTGGTTGCTGCCTCCAGGTAGGCCTCATAGGTGGGGAAGTCCTCGACCTTGAGTTCGTCCTGATCAGCTTCCTCCTCCCCTTGGTCCTCGCCAGGCTGTTGGTCTCTTTCCTGGTCCACCTGATCCCTTCGCTGTTGCTCGCGCTCCTGCTCCTCGGCGTAGTTGCGATCGGGCTCGTAGGCTTCATAGCTCGGATAGGGCTGACGTTCATCTGGCTGGGGCTCCTCCGGCTGCTGGTGCCGCTCCTGATGCAATTGCTCTTGTCGCTGACGCTCGCGCTCCTGCTCCTCGGCGTAAAGTCGCTCCTCAGCGTTCTTCGCTTCCTGAGCTCTAACATAATCTTCATAGGCCTGCTGGTCTTCAGGGTTGTCTCCCGGCTGATTATCCCGATCTCGTTCTTGCTGCTCGCGCTCTTGCTGCAAGCGATAGTCTCGCTCTTGCTGCTCTCGACGCAGTTGCTCCTGCTGTTGCTCCTCGCGGTCTTGTTCCTCGTTGTAGTTGTTACCCGATTCAGACTCGGAAGGATTTTCGTTGTCGTCGCGGCTAAACTGATCGTATGATGGATATGGTAGCCGACCATCATCTGGATTTTCTTCAGGTGCCCCTTGCTCGCGTTCTTGTTGTTCGCGTTCTTGTTGCTCGCGTTCTTGTTGCTCGCGTTCTTGTTGCTCGCGCTCTCGTTCCTCGCGTTCTTGCTGCTCTCGCTGCTGCTGCTCATCTTCGTAGCTAGGATAGCTCCATCGGTCACCGTCATCTACTGGCGCTGGAACATTATCGGGCTGTTGATCTTGTCCTTGCAGCTCTCGGTCTCGCTCCTCTCGTTCCCGCTCCTCTCGTTCTCGCTCCTCACGCTCTTGCTGCTCTCGCTGTTCACGCTCTTGCATCTCTCGTTCATACTGCTCTCGTTCCTTATGCTGACGCACCCGCTCTTCCTGCTCTTGCTGCTGTCGCACTCGCTCTTCCTGCTCTTGCTGCTGTCGCACTCGCTCTTCCTGCTCTTGCTGCTGACGCACTCGCTCTTCCTGCTCTCGCTGCTGACGCAAACGCTCTTCTTCTTGTTGCTGACGCGCTTCTTGCTCCTGGCGTGACTGCTGCGGAGGGCGACGCTGCTGCTGCTCTCGCCAACGTTGCTCCCTCTCGCGGATAAACTGTTGCTGACGAGCTTCCTGAGCTCTGACATACTCCGGATCCGCAGGATGCCAATTGCTTTGCTGCTGGGTTGGCCTGCTTTGCCAATTGGCATATGGATTGACCGCGTAGGGGCGCCTTGTAGTTGTCGTTGTTGTCGTCGTGGTGGTCGTGGTGATCGGTGCATTGTTGGGTGTAGCTATGATCACTGGCTTAGGGCTCCGTGAGCCATGACCGGGCACATAAATGCCCTCGCCAAAGTGCGGATCCAGCTCGAGAGCGTTTTGGCGAGAGTTGGTGAAACGCAGGACGGGTCCATACTCGCTGGTAGCCTGCGGCCACACGCCTGGATTGGGGTTGGGTACGCCAGTAGTGGCAAAGTTCACCCACATGGTGACCAAGGCGCGGGACAGCGACCTGTCCAAGGGATTCAGTTGACTGGCCTCCGGCGGATAGGGGAACAGGTACACGCTGTCATCGCTGAGGGAGGCGTCCACTCCGAAGGGAAGAGGGTTGGACAGGTGCCCGAACCGGTGGTACTGACCGCGATAGTCAAAAATGTACAGGTAAGCCGGTTCTTTGAGGTCACGGACCGTGTTGATCACGGGTGCACGGTAGAGGATGTAGTTGCTCAGCTCCAGCAGTCCATTGGCCACTGTCTGCAGGCTGGCCGTGTGCTCCTGATCCGGGCTGAAGATCTCGCGAAGCGCCCACTGCTTCCATTTGGCGTGCTCTCCCGCCGGCGCTGTGTGGCGCAGCACCACGTCGATATAGTCACTCACATTGCGGGACTGCAGATGAGCGATCTGGTCGTAGATGCCTGTATAAAAAAAAGGATGGTGCATTGATTAGAACCAAAAGAACCGATCTTGCATTGTTTTTCCCTGACTATATAACTGAGCTTTCTAAATACCTAAAAACTAACCCCGAATACAGCGATAAGAAATTTTTGAGGCTCCCTGTATAATTAAAATCCTTATATTTGCAAGTTCGGTTGCTGGATCTTTCTGTGCATACATACAGACTTTAGAATCTCGGAAAATATAGGTCGAACCATTATCATCCGACATAGATATCTTCTGGAAATACCAAGCTCAATTTGAATACACGCAATCATTTCCTGCCAGCCGACGAAAATAGCATACAAATCAGTCACCCTTGAAAGCAGCTCAGATTAATTCATCTCAACATAAGTGGAATACGCTTTAGCTGTACGTATTAGACAGCGGTCTAATTGCATTGGACCCTAATCAGTCTGACCTCGAGAGCACCATCTTATCGCCAATTGCCTCTTAATCTGCCCATCTGAACCAGTCTAGATTCATGGATGGCAACATTGATGTTATGTTTCCGTTTCAAGTATGAATATAATTATTTTTGAATAGTTGAAAAAACCTTTCGCTACTCCTTCCCTAGATATAAATATATACAAGTACACTAGCTCCCCAAAAAGATCATCCAAACTTCCTTAAACCTGTTCTGATTTCCTAATGGAAATAGAATACCAATCCAAATGTTAGTACTCACGCGAGATGATAAAGGAGCTGGCGTCCTTGGTGGCGCCGATGATCAGGGGCGGCGTAACGCTACCGTTCCTGGCCAGGATGGATGGGTCGCTCTTTAGATAGCCCAGGGCGTCGCCGACGACCAGCTTGAATCCGCCCAAGCGGCTGCGGCCGTACGCCTCGTTCTTCAGCAGCAGTTCCTCGAAGGCGGCCACCAACTGCGAGGTGGACAACCGGCCGAGGCAGTCGTACAGGGGCGCGAGTCCTCGGGGAGTGGAGCTGGGGCTTGGGCAGCGGGCGAGACTTGCGAAGGTGTTGAGGGTTTCCTGGGGATCCTCGTCAATCAGATAGGGATTCAGGGCGGTGCCCGATTGCAGGATGAGCCGCTGGAAGAGTTTGGTGGCCCGTCCGCTGAGGGTCAAGGCGTGAGCCAGGGTGGCACCACCCGCCTGCCCCACCAGAGTCACCTGTTCGGGATTGCCGCCAAAGTGGACCAGGTTGCGCTGCAGCCATTCCAGGGCCAGGTGCAGATCCGAGAGGGCCACGTTTCCGGGCAGCTCGTCGGTCAGCGCGCTCAGGAAGCCGAAGGGAGCGAGTCGATAGTTGACCGAGACCAGGAGCACGTCCTTCTCCAGGACGTAGTCCGGCTGGGCCTCCTCGGAGCCGCCGTCGAACAGCATTTCACCGTGAACGAAGACCAAAACGGGCAGTTGCCTGGCGCCTTCCGGTGCGTAGATGTCCAGGGTGAGGCAGTCGTCGACGTTCTCGCCCCGGGATTCAGAGTCCCGCAGACGGGCAAGCTCCGGAAACTGGGCACAGTTGGGGCTCTTGACGGTGGCACTAACCCGTCCCTGGAATCCTGCTGGTTGGGCTGCCTGGAAGCGGGCCAGACCGCCTCCCACTTTGGCGTACCGCAGACCCAGGAAGGCATTCACCGGGCGATTGGCAATGGTCTTGAAGTTTCTAATCCCCGAGATCTGACCGACTTCGGGAACTTGAACCACGGCTTCCTGGGGCTGCGCATATTGGGGTTCCGCCTGCCAGGGGGCTGGCTTCAGCGGTTCGGGCTGCCATGAGGGCACTGCCCTGGCATCCTCGTCGTAGTCGTCGTTGTAGTCGGTTGGGGAGCCCACAGAGAGGGCACTAACTTGGGCCGCACAAAGGGCCAGCACTAGGAGCAACGGCTGCATGTTGCTCGCTGCGTCGCGTTTGAACGAGAACTGATTTCCGAATCGGATTCGACGGCCTGAAAAGCTCCCGGGCACTATCTGCAACCAAAGCAGCCTTGGAGCGGCCTATCCGCGAGGTTGGCTTGATACTACAATAGAACTAAAGGAAAGAAACTCTTAAGAAATATTATGTTGCCAACATCTAGCAAGTATTCAAAATATGAATACTCCTTTAAGAAATTTTCATAATTTTCGTAACAAATTTGTTTAAATGTGTGCTTTTTAAATAACCTAGGGTACTTAAAAACACTAAAAATTATATTTCAGGATTAAACATAATGATTAACATTTTTTGATCGAGTTTTTTAAAAGATAGTTTTTTTTTGTATACCCGTTAATCGTAGAATGTAAGAGTATATTGTATTCGTGCAAAAAGTATGTAACAGGGAGAAGGAAGCGTTTCCGACCGTATAAAGTATTTTATTGATAAGGATCACTAGCCGAGACGAGCTATCTTTGTCCGCCTGTCTGTCCGTCCATATGAACGCTAAGATCTCGGAAAAAATAAAAAACCAGAAAGTTATAATTAACCATGCAGATTCTTAGAGTTCTTAAAGTCTTAAGCGACTTTTAAATGTGTCTGGCGCCCAAATTTTTGAAGATGTTAGAAAAGTATAAATGCAATGTTTTTGTGTTTATTTTTACCTATCAAAAAGTTGAAGAAATTTGTTGAATCGTTGTTAAATACCATTTAATAATTAGTTAGGAGAAAATAATGGAATTCAAGCAATCCAAATATGAATTTAGCAAAGCGACTGCTTGGCTTTGCTAAACGCATATTTCAATCTCTCTTGAACTTCCTTTAGCTAAGTAACGGATATCTGATAGTCGAGCTACTGGACTTTAGCGTTCTCCCTTGATTATTTTTATACGCTGATTTTGGTGAATACGTATTATTTCCAAACTGTTTCTTGTCCACCCTCGATGCCAAACGTACACCCGATTTCCAGTTGGCGATGTTCGGACCGCTCAAATCTACTTTCAAATCAGTGACGGAGTTGGGGTTTCTTGGGGCTCCCAGGCCCCACGGAAATGCTAGTACTACTAAACTCTTATTTAAATCATCAAGGGATTTTTTTGTTGATCCGGGCCTGGTTCTTCGTTGTTTAGATTGCTTCGGCTTGACGGACCTTATCTCATCCGCTCGACTCCGACCGATAGAGGCTTATCTGGTGGCGCAGCTTCTCTTGTTGTCGAAGCATGTTTCGCCATGTTAAATTAAGTACAACCTAAAAATGTACGGTAATGTCCATGAAACAGTTTGGGAATTCACCAAATAAAATAACAATCAAGCAGCCTTTCTGCGTCGTTTAGTTATGGTGAAGAAATGGTTGTAATCTACAGTAAGATTGCTAATTTTAAATTGTACACATTATGCAGTACGTATTATTTAATTTAAATACACCCAGCTTAAGGTTGAAATACACAATTATATTTTTGTTTTTAATATTATTTCTTCAGTAAATAATTATACGAGTTGCCTCTCACAAACGAAGTTTAGTCGGGTCGAGCAGGCGTTATCGTTCATGCCCCACTGATTCCCTGAGTACGCAAATTCTACGCAATCTTCGTTGTTATAGTTATCCGGATTTTGTCGCCATTTTAGAAACTTGGCTTTTTGTCCAGTTTTGTCCAGCACGAACTCCCCCTCCTTGGAAAAATCATGGACACCCATCCAGTATAAATGTGAATCCATTTTTAATTCTTTGCCAAGGGCATCCAACTCCGACTGGCTTTGCGGACTGACTAGGTGACCACCCAAATCCATACAAAATGCCCGAGAATCATTCCAGCTTCGCCTTTCGGTCTCCTGTATTAAATATCCCTTGGAACCAATTTTCTTATATGCCACATTTTTAAGTGTTTCGTTGATTTTCTGCATCGATTTCTCCATTTCCAATTGTTTGGTCGTGAGTTCTTCCAATTTCTGCAATCCAATGTTCTTGTTCATTTTTTCACTGAGTTCTTTTTCCTGTGCGATTGTCTTTTTGTTTTGGCTTTCGATCTGTGTGTCCAGCCCATCAAGTCTTTTAGAGAGTTTGTTAATTTCTGCAGTTTTGTTCACCTCTTTGGTTGTAAGGTTTTTCTCTAGGGTTTCCAGCCCCTTTATGTATTTTTCCTCCTGGGTCTTGAGACTTTCCCTTTGTAGTTTGAGGTCATTCTGTAATCTATTAACCACTTCTTTAAATTTTGCGTTGTCTGATGCAACTTCTGTCGTCCGATTTTCCAACCGGATAAGATTGATCTTTAGATTTTCATTGGCAGAGTTTTGAATTTCCTTTAAATATGAAAACTCATTTTTAAAGTTTTTAAATTGGCTTGAAAAGTCCTCTAGTTTTTTTATCCGTTCATCCATTACGACCATATGTTCTAAGATCATTCTAACTGATTCACAAATGTAACTACTGCAATCTTGATCCTTAGTTTGTCCTTCTGACTGTAAAGCGATATGTTTAGTCATTTGTGTTAAAAAAGGGAAGTTTACAAACCAAATTCAAAGCTGTGGATCCTGGCGCAACGAGGTAAAGTAGAAACAAAAATCCAATGTATTTCATGTTCTTACAAAAATAGGACTTGCTACGAGAAATGATTGAGGCAACTGAGAAACTACTGATTTACACCAATCTGAACCTCTGTTGAATATAATACTCGTAGCGGATGATGCATAACGACTTATACAAACGCCTGCTGGTGATAAGGCCTTTTAAAAAAGGCGATAACGCTCGTAAATGAGTACTTAATAATAACACTCTGCAACATTTTTATGGTTTTGAAATTTAAATGCAATTTGGATTTCAAAACCTAGAGAAAAATCAATACGTTTTAAGCCCCATATGGCGTTCCATATGGCGATTTAAAAATTTCAATTAAAAATTGACTATATCTCAAGAATCGAATGAAAATTAATTTTTATGTATTCAAATGTATTGACCTAAGGACTAAAAATGCTGAACAACGCTGATAGAAAACTTGTTAGGGAAAATAACAGATTGTATTTATTGTTTTTTAAGTCTAAACGCTATGTTTTTTTTTCCATTTTTGTGTCTAGATTTTTACTGTTTTAACCACTCGAAAAGATTTTTGTACCACCCCCGTAAAGCTTTGTAAATGCAGTTCAAAAGTATTAGCCGAAAAAATAAAACGCAACAAGAAGTTCATAATATAATATTCTCTATATTTTCATTTTTATTAATCATTTTCGATTCCATTCCCTCCGTTTTTTTTTTCTGTTAAAGTTTCATTTTCAATTTCTTGTTTTGTTTCGGCTTGTTCAGTATGTATCTATAATAATGTGTTATAATTAAGAATCGTCATTTCATCTAAATATTTCAGTTATAATAATACAATATAATAATCATTAATAATATGCGGTTTTCTTTAATCGATTTCTCTTTTTCGCCATGTATGTTAAACTTGTGTGACTTGCTTCAGAATGAATTCCGATCCGTTTGGTTTGTGTGGAATTAATTGTGTCTCGGACCAAATCTTTGGGCACGTGGCGTTTCTATCAGCTTGAGTTTGATTATTTCGTGTCTGAGATCGACTATCTCCTATGACTCGCAGCTTACTGTACGTTCAAGTATGGAAATCAGAGTTCTAGGAAAGCTAAAAGCAAGTGTATGCATATATACGTGTGTCTATATATGTATATACGTGTTTATATATATTCTTTCTAGGTATTTTAATCTCGATTATGCTGTGGCAGTGGCCCAAAGGAAAGAAGCCTCTTAATTCAAATCCAAATTCGAACTTAAAAGTAATGTGTCAAGTTACGTATTTTTTAGCAGCTTCCCTTCAACCTAATTAGTCCTCGTAAAGTGAGAAATAAATGCAGAAGTCCCTTCAGGTGCACAATTGAACATGGCTTAGTAGCACTGATTGATATTTGGGGTCGCCTGCGTTTCTTGTTAGGAACTTCTTAACAAATTTACGACTGATTAAATCATACAAATGATACGAACCTCTGGCTTTCGTTTTGTCAAAAATCGTTTACCCAAAAATGCACATTAATTAATTTGTCACTGAATCAAAGATATTCACTGATTTGTTTCTAGCTTTTGTTTTCCTTTGTTTCTTATGTTTTTTCTTGTATATTTTTTGTAGCTCAGTCTTTTTACTAACAATTTTTGTTGTTCATGTTGTTGTTTTTTATAGCTTCTTCATGCTGTAGATCTTCGCTTTGCAGTGCTGTTCTGATTTATGATACCGCACATATTTCGCGTGAATAATTAAGTGTTGATGTATTAATTTCTGAATCGATTGCTTTGAACCAAATACAAAACTTGACGAATTCCTAATTGGACTTATGTCGGGAAGGTTTCTGTAGAGGAATGGGAAGATGAGGGAACCGTTTTGCACGAACCGTTACCGATCCGAACTGCTTGGGGAGATCTGGGAGATCAACAGAGTGGATCTGTGGATCGGGAGCGGGACGGGACGGGAATTCAATTCATTCAGTTTAGATTGCATTTGAGTTCCTTCATTTAAATGGCTTGCTGTTAGCTCTATAGTTGCTTGGAAGTACCGTTTTGTGTCTAACTTTCGTAACTTATTTGGTTAAATATCTGTTATTCGCTTTGGGGCTTTCATTAAGTTTGTTACTCATTACGATCTTGCGCTACATTTTCAACAATTTAAATTTATCCTTACGTATTTGTAACCGCTAAAGAATGGATAACATACTCGTGGCTCATACGCTCAAGCATCTCTTGAGGATTGTGTGTGGGTGTGATGACTTTGCGGAGAAAATCAAATGCTTTCGGTTCATTTTGTTTCGTTTCAGTTAGGGATCTGATCTTGGTTTGCTTGAATGAAGGAATATTTATTTGGTTGGTGAAGTATTTACAAAGTTTCGCATAATAGTATTCATATAGGTAATGCGTACGTTAGGCTTGTTGCGTTATAAAATCTTAACATAATTATATAAATTGAATTCATGAACTCGCTTAACTTTGCTTCATTAATGGCCTTCAAGTAAGTAAAATGCATCGATTACGTGTCAGTGTGTGTTTGTATTTACTCTATTTGCATGGAGAGCTGGCTACTTAGAAACAATAGAACCAAACGGAACCGGATATCGTACAGAGTTAATACGCTTACTCTAAGTCCGCTCAGTAATCTGATTTCCATTATCTGTAATAGTTCGCTCGATTTCACAAAACATAATAATACAGTTCATAATAATCAAGTTTGTGGTAAATGCCTTAACCTAGTTAGTAGGTATTTATAATGTAATGCCTGCTCGTAATAATATCTATCATGTAATCATTTATATATTTTTGTTTCATATATTTATTTATATTTATTTTATGTAAGAAGCACTTGAATATATATCGTTTTTAATGAAAAATTAAAACTTGGGTGTATCGTGTCTTGGATTGTTATTCTTTTTGTTTTAGTTTTTTTTTGGGTTCCTGCTTTCTGCTCTAATTTTTAATGTTGGTTGTTCTTTATAGTTTAATAAGTTGCTAATTAGCAAATATGAATGCGCTCGCTACAATCTGTAGGTAATAATTGTTTTCGTCTTATTCGGAGAAAGTTAAAAATCGTTTTTGTTTAGCTTATAATTATCTTTAAAGTATCTTCAACGACGTCGTAAGTGATCATCATCATCGTCAACCCCAATTTCTGTTCCTCTAAAAAAGTGTCTGAGTTGGCTTATCTCACAAACGTTTGCCCTTTGCTGAAAGTTTTAAGAAATTTAGATTTTTTTTTGCGTTTGACTCTGTTTTTTTTGTTATTGAGTGTTTTTAATAAAATACTTTGCTTAAATCAGTTATTTTTGTTTGTTTATTACTTCATTTTTATTTTATTTTTCTTTTTTTTTAATTTAAAAGCATTTCTAGAGAATCTCTCTTCTAAAGTATCTAATAAGTGTATGTATATGGGTCATCTATATTTATGTATAAGTATATATTCATGGATTCTCTTTTTTTACTGTTGTTGCTGGTTTATGTCTGTAGGCATGATTTACTGTAAAACCTTTCAATTGCAGCCTGGCTTCAAATTACAATTACATGTTAGATTTTGCCTTGTATATTGAATAATCGGTAATCGGCTTTCAGTTTGCTTGTATATATGTAAATGGTAAAGTGTATAAAAGTTAATGATCTGATTCAGTTAATACTTGTATGCAATTGTATAAGTAGTTGATGTAGATCTAGAATTAGTTCAAAACTCTAGTGTATTCCTAAGTTGTATCCATCTGCCGCTACTCTATGTGTCTGAATCTTTGCATTTATTTTCGCTTAAACATTTTAAGTGTTTGTATTGCTTTCAAAGTACTCGACACGGTTTATTTTTTAACGAAGAACATGAAAACAATAGATTTAAAAACTAAATAAGCAGAAACAGAAATCAAATTGCCACGCAGATTATTGCGCAGCTTACATATCTTAGTTTAAATTGAAAATATTTACAAATAAAACTAACTAAAAATAAGCACAAATAACTTTGTAAAGTATTTTGTTAATCATTTGTGTCTTTGGCTGGCTAAATGTAATCGCATTCCTTTTCTTTGTGTTTTTTAATTTTTGTTTTCCGCTGTGATTTCTCTTCGGTTGTATACATTTTGTCAAAAAGTAAAATTTCATATAAAAAGCATTAAATTGCAGCTGCATAAAGTATATATTAATCAATATATACGCTTACGTTTGTGTGGGTTTCTATTTTAAGTCTACGGCTTGTTATGGGTTTTGTTGTTTATACATTTGCTTTGATTTAGATATTTCTACGCTTTTTACTCGTCTTGCAACGCAATTTCCAAGTTTGATCGGATGATTTTAATGTTTCTCATACAAAATATTGAGTATCGATTAGCTTAGCCTAGTTCTAATATACTCTATTACGAGAACAACATTAGCAATGCCCCTAGTGAAAATATTTTCAAAAGTTTTGTTCTGCCCTCCGGCCCAATCTATAATACAAACCCTATGTGGCTAGGCTAAAGTTTAGTTTTAATGCTTTCACTAAATTTTGATCGATCACTTCACATGAAATTTGTGTGTCCCTCTTCATGCATATATAGGTATATTTGTATATATACAAAGATAGCGAGTTCCGTTCTCAGTGGAGAACTGTTCTGAATCAATGCAAACAATAACAACTGAACTCAAGGTGGGCACAAGCCCAATTATGGCACATATCGCACATACTGTTTTCTGTACAGATCGGTTGAATAATGCGTTTAGTCCTGTACATAATTTACACTTTCCTATAGCAGACTGCAGACTGAATCACTGGAGTCCGAGGAAGTACTATAGCGTGAGGCTCTGCAAATTAAATTGACAATGGAAAATGCACTCGATGGACTCGATTTCGATGGGAGCGCTGCTTTGCGATTGGCAGTTCCAGTTCCAGCTCGGAAGTTCGGAATGAATCCCGAATGCAATCCCCTCTTATTTCCCCGACTTCTGACGGCTTAAGACTAATTTGTTTGCCCTCCTACTGCTTCTGTAATTTATTTCATTTGTGTAAATCAGTAATAAGCGTTTCGTTTTGTTTTCTCATCTTTTAAATTTCTTCTATTATTACTTTCTCTGGTTAAATGCAAAAAATCTTGTATATCGTGTATACTCTATTCGAATAAGGTTTGCTTAGATTACGTTACGTCTTGCCCATCTTTAGGATTAATATTTACAACTGTTAATTTTTCACTAATCGTAATTAACAATATCATTTTGCAGCTCTAATTTAGCGTAGCCGTTTCTCTTGAACCGTGTCTATATAATCAATGTGTATATATAGAGTCATATATACGTATGTTCTGTTATGCTCGTGTATACTTAGCAGATCGGGGAATATGTATAAGGCTATATAACTATAAATTTCGTGTATAACTTCTCTGGCTTTTGTGTGTAAGTAAATCCCGATCCAGTTCCTATCGCTAGTGAATGATTTATTCGATTGCTACGTGTAGTTAATGGGAGGGGGAGGGGTTAGGAAAGGGTGATTAAGCCACTGCATCGCCACTTTGGAATTGAGTCTTTTGTACTAGTCAAGGTAGTAAATTGGTAACAACTTTAGTTAGGGGAATGCTGTCCTGAAGTTTGCTAAAATTGTTTAATGTTTCGGGACTATTTTCCAAAAAATCTTCTTGAATTAAGACAATTCATTGAAAATCTTAATAGGTTTGGGTCCCCTGAATTAAGAGATTAACTTTGTGTAGTCATTTACAATTTACTACCTTGATATCCATGTCGGTTTTTTTTGATAATGTTGCCACAATTAGCGCATGTCAAAAAACTTCCTAATTGATGTTCATTTGGAATTTATCCAATTTCACTTGTTAGGACAAAGTATCGATATATGGAATTCGGTTCCCATGCAGATAATACGAACAAATGTCTACAGATTTCCCAAAAAGAGTGAAATTAGATTCATTCGCTTTTTGCTATTCTATCAGTGGCTTGTGTGCTAGTACATCTCATTCTCATCCCAGTCGACCGATTGGAGGACCAGTTTGTCCAGCTCTTTGGAATCGCCGGAGCTGCTGTTGCGCCTGCGCCGTCGCCTCTGGAGGTGGGCCCACTTCCGGTTGAGCTGGGTGGCCATTTGGGGGGCGGCGAACATGGCCGCTGCCGCCGCACTCAGCTTGGTGGGCGTTATGGCGCTGCTGCCGCGGTTGGTGGAGCTGCCCGAGGCTGTGGGCGTGGCTCCGCCTCCGGCAGGACTCATGCTGAACAGCTCCCTGTTGCCGAAGCGAAATCTGCGGGGCGGCGGCAGGGGCGGCATGGCGACCAGGTGAGGCGTGTCGTAGGGCGGTGGCGGTGTGATCATGGCCAGCGACGAGGTGTCCTCCTGGTCCTGCTCCTCGTCCTCATCGTCGTCCTCGTCGTCGAAGTGGAAGGTGGCGTCGGAGTGGCGTTCGTAAAGCTCATAGGAGGGCGTCTCCGCCAGCGGCGATTGCGGTTGAACTGGCGTCACCGGCATGGACTTGGCATAGGTCCTGCCGATCATCGGACTCCTGGCGCGTGGCTGGGCGGGGGGCGTGGTCGGACCGGGGGGCGGGTGCGAGGGCGGATGCGGATGCGGGTGGGCGTGCGTGGACTGGGCCTGGATGAGCGGCATCGATTTGGTGTTGCATATCAATCAATCACGGTAGATGTAGCTGCAGTTCTTGGGGCTCTCCTGCGGACTGGGGCTGCTGGATGGCGGAGCCGGACTGCTGCTGCTGTTGGACATTACGGGCGAGGAGCCGGAGCTGGAGTGCGGCTGCTGTGACTGCTGTTGCTGCTGGGGGCTATTCGAACGGTGTTGAGTTACTGCAAGAGCCGGAAAGCACTCGAATTAGTTGCGGAAAATCGACCTGGCATGGGTGCTTGGGTGCATGTTGCATCGGTAACTGGGCTGGGACACACACACATATGGAGGCTATGGAATATGCATATTGTTTTTAGACAACACTGATTCTGCTGCAACATGCACATAAACACACGCACACAGAAACTACTGGTACACGTATCAAATAATATATCAATTATGGAAGGAAAAATATGAAGCACGTAAAATAGTTTATGAAATAGTTGAAACAAAAGAATTCAATTTCAGGGATAGTCTCGAGAACTGTCGAACCCATTCGGGTCTCGCATCACAGGACGATCAGAGGGATAGAAAAAGAGAGGTTGGAGGCCTGGCGACAGATCTTAATAGTAGAGTGAGTGTCTAGGTGTCTATGGGTTCTGTTGGCCAGTCGTGTCGTAACTCTAACTTAATGCAACTCAGGGTTTTAGACTTACCAATGCCATGACGGGGCGGCTGTCTTCTTGCGCGACCAAGACTTCTGTTACGTGTGTTTGTGTTGTTTACAGCCTATGGGGTTGGAGTGTTTATAAATTTCTGCTCTTTTATATTCAAAATAGTTCTTTTTCGAAAGTTACATATGTCAATGTTGAAGGAAATAAAACACAAGAAAGTATAAGCTGCTAATTTGCTTCAATCTAGGGTAAAACGTTCGCAATCAATTTTTGCTCTCAAATCTTGCAAGGCCAAGCCAATATTAAGTTGTACTTTTAAATGTGTGGTTCTATGAACCCAAATAATTTTTAATTTGTGTACCGTTTTCTTTTGGATTTCTCAAGTGTTAATGCAATATCTTCCAATTACTTTCGGGTCTGGAATTTTAGTGGGCAAGCAAAAACGAAAAAAATACTTGTAGCATATACCATATAGAAACGAAAGCAAAAGAAGTACATGTATCATGGTGGGATAGTATTATCGGGATATATTATATTTGCTTCTTAAATATAAAATATAGTTTGTAATGCACACACACACGCACGCTTTTTTAACTTTTCTTGAGGGGTTTTGATATAACACTTTTATGGGATTGGGATTTAAAAGCCCATGCAGAAGAGTTCAAGCGGTTCAAGTGGGTTAAGGGTTCGGGATTGGGGAATATTGGTAAATCGAACGACAATCGAACACACACTCTCTCAATCACGCAGAGGTCAAACAAAGGTTGAAGGAAGCGCTGGCGTTGGCGATTTGCGAAGCGAGTTGGGCGCGGGATGGCTGACTGGGCTGGACTGGCCTGATTGGCCGATTGAACGATTGATTGATCGATAACCTTTTTAGCCATTCGAAAATGTGTAATGCGGAACCAAAAGTAACGGTGAGTGAAAAGAGAAGGAGATAGCAAACAACAAAGCTTCAGCAACAGTGCCTAAATATCTATCGAAAAACTAAAACTAAATTTGCAATGGTGCTCCAAATTTGAAATGCAATTTGCAATTAATGGAAAGAGAGAGCGAAATTGTGGAGATTTTGAAAATTACTTTTTGCCTATGGAATTTCGGTTTAGCTCGTTGCGAAGGGAGCTTCCGTATTGCAGCTTTTGAGCAAAATATTGTCCAGATTAATAATAATAGCAAACGCAAGCCCACCAAAAGAATGCCAACCGAAAAAGGATAGTACAAAACAAACATAAATTATAATAATGTGAAATAAGTAAACTCAAATGGCTTTAGTTATAAATAAGTATTTACCATATTTTGGGTAATTAGTCCCTGACTGGTTTCAGCCGCCCCACTCCCGTCTCAAAGGTAAACCTAATGTAAAAAGGGGAAGAAGAATAGAGAAAAGATAGAGATAGATTTTTGTTTTTTCGGTATTTGTGTTGTTTATGGTATGCAATAGTTAGTATCGATAGAAAGAGTTTCTCGTTGAGTTGAAGTAGAGTGAGAAGTTAGATTGTAACTGTACAAAATGCTTAGACAGAGATAGTGGTATAAGGAAAGCCCTGCACAGATCCAATCCCACTTGACTCGCACGATTGGTGTATTTCCAGTTATAAGACAGAACCCAAAAGATATTTGTAAGCTTTATGGTATGGGGTGAGTGATGAAGATGATATATTAACATGCGCTTGACCATGAATGATGGGTTAGATGATGGAAAAGATCCCCGAATTGTAAGCCAACCAATATGTTTCTATTTAAAACCAGGAAATAAAATATTTGATTTAAGACAGTATATATGTGCCACACTCCCGCGACTGACTGTATTCTATCCCGTAATATTATGTGAGGTAAAAGAATAATGGTTTACAAGTTGGTAAAACAATAAGTAAGCATGCAATGGGTTCAGAAATAAAGAATTTTAGTACGACAACATTAACTACAACATGTATGGGGATTATGATATATGATAGTGATGCGACTCGGTGCTATATAGTTTTTAACACACATTTAGAGGGAGTGATGGCAAGGTACTCGCACACACTCGTACACAGAAACACACAGATAGAAAAGGTGAGGCTAAGAAATACACCAATCGACGATTGTGTGAGGAGAGTTCAATCAAATACAAGCGCAGCACAAGGACTCTCGATGGACGAGCAAGTTAGTTAACTAATGTCAATAAATGTCGAACAACATCGAAAAGAGCGCAATGGTTACGGTTAGAGATTAGTTGTATAGTACGATACGATAGTCGGAAAATAAAAATGGATTGTTTACAGGATATTCGCTGAACTCACCTTCTTGACGCTGCGGGTGGTGGAAAAGCCATCTCCGCGCCTATAGTTGTCGCCCTGTGAATATTATAATATTGTATACTCGGAAATATAAACAACAAACGTCCTGCAAGTACTCACCATCACCTGGTGGGAACGTAGTGTTCCGAAGTTGTCGCGACCGCGATACGATTGCTGGGTGTTGTAGCCGTCGGGTTGGAACTGGAAGAGGGTCTCCGAGTTGGGGCCCTGGTGCATCTGGTGCATCGGCGGCTTGCGCAGCGTGTTCTTCGGCGAGTGCATCTTGTTTGGCGGCGGCGGCTGGGGCAGGAGCACCGGTTCCGCGTACGTCACCTCCTCCACCTGGGGCAGCAGCTTGGGCTCCTGCTGGATGCGGCAGGACGAAGGGAAGCTGTGGGCGAAGCATAGAATTACTCCTTTAGTGTTACGGAATCCACTTCGGCACTCTTTAGTACAAGGTAACGGCTCAAAATGACAAGGATCTCAGTGTTAAAATATTTGCCTAATTTTTAGCAAATAACAGAACCGACATCTAAAATCGATCAGTGCGAGTAAGAAATAAACAACAATTTCTTATAAAGTCTAGAGATTAACTTCTACCTTTTATAACACTTGAGATCTTAATTCATTCAGACTTACCTGTTAACATTTTGCCGCTGCTCGAAATATTCGTACTCCGTATCGGGATATGGCAGATTGTCGTCCTCGTCCTTGTGACAACGGCGACCGCAGAAGTAGCCTGTAAAGAAGCCGACCAGCAGCGAGAAAATCGAGCCGGCCAAGACGGCCATCACAAGGGTCTCCACCGTGTACTGCGCGTTGATTATATCTGCAGAGATTTGGGGACCTTCGGTTAGTGATTGGTAATGAATCGAATTTAGTTCAATTCCCATCGATACAGTGTGCATTAGGCAAAACATTCAACAAACATTTAAAATCACAACAAATATGTAACGATTTTTCGGTTTGTTGTGTCGGGTTTCAGGTGGGTTTTGTCGGTTTTTGTTTCAGTGTGGGGTTGAATGGAGGGTTGGTCCATCATTGCAACGACATCAATAAACATCCAAACATCGAATTTATAACGCATGGTATAAGGTAATTGCACGGTAATTGTTCAGAAATCATAATGAAAGAAACAAGAAAAATATGAACAAGAGTAGTTAGTAAAATGGTACAACAACGAGGATAACATTTTTAATGAACAATGATTAGTAAAAAAGTGTTTTCAATTTTAATATATTCATTAAAAACCTTAGTAAAAATATATAAGAAGCATAGACAGGCAAATATAATAGAAATGCATATGTTTGACAGTAATTAAGGTTAATTGTTATTGGTATTTAATAGGAATTATTTATATTCCAGGATAATAATTATTATAACATTAATCTTATAGAACTCATTGAATCCTCTTACTTAATTATGATTAATGATAGTTTGGACTTGCCAAATCACTCCCACATTATTGATATTTAAATATTTTCCGGAAACATTTGATTCTTGTAAAAATAATATTTATATTTAATATTTTTCCATAAATAATAGTCGAAGCTTTATACACTTTGCAAGCGTATAAAAACACACACCCGAATATAGCAGAACGGACGTACTGTTTCCCCGAGTACCGGGCCCAAAAAGTAAATTGAAGCTCATAAAAAACAAAATCGCTTTAAATAAAGTGCAAGGCAGCAGTTACGATGGGACTTGAACGGCATAAAGTGCCAACAAGCCGGCAGTCGGAGTTCAGGGAATCCCGACAAAATGAAAATGTGATTTGCAAGGTAGACAACACAGAGAGCAAGCAAAGGTCGAAGGTTGCAATGGGGGGTTGGGCTGAGGTGGGCAAAGTGACAAGCAAGTACGTGCATAGTACAAAACGAACGAATGCAAAATAAATATGATAAGGAAAATATGCAGGAAAAGCGTTTCGGTAAATCACCTTCAAAGTTCTTATCAATATTGTCGATGATTTCCTGATCCTTGCTCTGGCGTCGCGAATCCAATAAGTCCATGTCGTTGCGGAAGCCCTTCTGCTCTCCTGCGTTGGCATCCTTCGAATTGATTTTGCCTGTACGAGAAAAGAATGGCGTTAATCTCGGCTTCCTTGGCCAGTCCTGACTGGCAGAACTTGGCACTCACCCGAGGGGCAGGCCGCGTGCTGGCCAGTGGCCACATTCTGGTAGAAATAGTTCTCCTCCAGCCAGCGGGGAGCTCCGTGGGAACGGCACTTGCCAGCTATTTTGTCCCAGGCGCAGTAGGGATCCTGCAATGCGACGCACTCACTGCGAACAGACGGAAAGTTGTGGATAAATACGTGCACTTGAAAAAAGGATCAACCAATTTCTTAAATTTATAATATAAAATAGCTTCTTTTTTGTTTTTATTAATTTGGTTATTTTCAAGATTGAACCTCGACTATCAGATACCCGTTAATACGCTAAGGAAAGTGCGAGAGAGATGGAGAAATGCATGCAGCAAAGCGACTGCTTGAATTTCTTTATTTCCTCATAACTTTTTAATGAATGGTCCGATTTGAAAAATTGTTTGTTTTTTTGTTAATTTACAATGTATCTCTTTTTACAAATCACTAAATATTTTGTCTCACATTTCATTTCAGTTGCTTTATAAAGAATGTAACCCTACTTCAAATTTAGAACACCCCTGTGCTTTTCGCTGCCTGACGGCATTTCAAAATATCAAAAGTCGAGTGTAAACTCCACGAATATACTGCATATTGAGGCTGTCAAGTGTCTGACAAGCGACACGAGAGTCACGCAAATTGTTACATGATAATAAAAATGCCATTGTCTGGAGTAGGTGGATAAGGGGGGAGGGCGGCACGACACTCACCTGCAGCTGGTGATTTTGTCATTGTGACAACGATGCAATTGTATGGCTACCACCTGGCTGTCCGTCACAATGATTAATTTGCCATCGTCGTAGCTGCCATCTTTGGGTTGATCTGCGGATCAAAGGAGGGTTAAAGGCACATATTATTTGTTTTCCAAAAGCCAAACTCACCGTATTGCATGGTTCTCACTATCTCCAAATTGCGAATGGGTTCACTCTTGGTCAGGACATCGATCTCCTCGATGACCACGGATGTGACTTTTTCCGCGGAATCGGCGGATTCGGCATTTACTGACTTGATAATCTTTCCGTGATCTGTTGAAATGTTTAAGTTATTATTGTAAGGGTTGTTTAACAAATTTAGTGTAGTACAAACCTGTGCCCACAAAAATAACATCATATGTCTTGCCGCCCGGAGTTTTAATTTGAGCATCCACGGCGATTTGGGTGAAGCGATATCTGTGAAAGAGCAAGGAAATTAATAAGAGTCATTCTTAAACGCTGTCCATATTTCATCTGCCCCTTAATTATTTTTCCTATGCCATTTCATTTAGATCTAATGCTTCTTTCATCAACGACTCTGGTGGTCAGCTTTTAAATAGAGGACAGAATGTCAATGCATGTTTTCTTTATTTTGCGACATTGTGTTTCGCCAGTTTTCCTGACAATGGACGTATACGTCTGTCATTTCGGTTAGATGTCCATTAATAATGGACGGACGCCAAAATGGTCGCCGCTGTCAGGATGTGAAGGCAAGGATGTGGCTGGCTGGTTGGCTGGCAGGACTGGTTAGTCAAGGACTTTAACGAACAACTACCACTGCAACACGACTGCCAACATAAGATACTCCCTGCATACATACGTACGTACGGCAACGACTGCTGCAACAGCAGGAACAAACAGTTTGTGTTTTTATGGAAAAAACATATTCCGAACAACAACACAAGTAGATGAAATAAAAACGAAAATTTCCCTCTGATTTCACCGCAAAAACGACGCCCGACCCCCCAGAAACCCCCGATCCCGCGTTGTTGCAACATTTGTGGCCTGGTCCACGTCCATTGTTGCTGTCATGCCTTCTGCCTCGATTTAAATGCAAATGCCTGGCAGCAGGAATGGAAGCTTCCAAATGGGAGCTGGGATCTGGGAGCGGGATCTGGGTCCCATTGCTCTGCTTTTTTATTGTTAATTAACTAATCTTGTTCTCGGGGCTCCGGCTTGTATGGAGCAACAATTTCCAAATTGCTCAACATTTGTGCGAATAATTCATTATATAAAGTTTTCACTTCAGACAAGTTAAGGATGGAATTTGCGAGGTTTTCCGAAATTACATATTATTTTTGTTTGACATCTTGTTGTTTGAGCTGTATGCTGTATTAAGAAATAAATGAAACTATAACGATATTTTTAAATATTGCAACTTATTTGGATTTCGAAAAAAAAGTTGCTAGCATATCAAAATAAATAAAAATCTAAGGCTGACGAGTTTCTCGAAAATTCAGCATATGCAAAGCAAATATAACGCAGGAAAAGAGAAAAAATGCTAAACTGGGACCTGGAAACACGTCCTGCTCCGGGTCAAAGTCCAAAGTCCTGGCAATTGAAACTTTCAAAAATGTTGCAAACTTTTTGTATCGCTCCGATGAGTTCAAAGGGCGACGATGACAGCCAAGTCGGCAGACAAATGGCAAGAACCGGCAGGGAAGTTGGTCGTTATTTGTCCACCTCTTACAGTCACCACCCCGAAATTGAGCAGACTGGTTAGTAAGCTGGCAGTGAAAGCGATAAGAACACGTTAAGGACAATGCGATACCTTGGGACAGGAAGATGCAGACGGGATATGGGATATGGTCAGCCAGCTGGCTGAAATCGGTTGAATATGGGATGCTTCCGGTATGCGTCAGGAAACAATTTGTAACGGAGCCCGAGCTGGGACATTCAACTTTTGTCGAGACTCCACCAGTCGAGTACGGCTTTCAACTTGCGGCAAACTTTAACCACTTCGCCTGGGCCCACTATGCAAATTATTTGCTTCTTTCCGAGATTTATTTGAGCCACGCCCCCACAGGCAGCTGGCCACACGATTACAGCCCCAACGAAATTATTATAAATTTATGTTTCGGCCAAATGCCATAAATTCTGGAGAATTTTTGATTTGATTTTGTCATTTGCGTTCAATAAATCCCTCGCATTATACAGCCTATCGTATCGACGCCCTCGTTTTGCGGTATGTCGTCCTGGTCTCAGCTCGAGAATAATTTATGCGTTTTGTTCAAATCAAATTGGAAAACATGATAAATGAATTTCCCAAACAAAACTGCCTTGACACTAGGAGCTTGACCTGGCTCAAAGGCCGCTAAGCTGTTAAGGATGTGCCAAAACCAAAGGGGATTAAAACTAACCTAACGATTGGTGGTGACACAAAATAAGGGGGCGAGTGAACAGCTAGACGCATTTTTAAAAGCTTAAAAATTACTCTATTTGAAACCTTAAAACATATAAAGCGCTTAAATAGAAAAAATGGTTTGTAATTTTTTTTTTTTGCCACAGTGTTTGTAAATCTTTACAAACTAAACCATCACATCACTTGTTAAATGAATCTGCATTTGCCTTGGAGGTTATTAAATATTGACTCGTCGTTAATTACGCGTCTATGTTTATGACCTAGTTAATAAATTGATTTATGGACTGACGATGACGGGTAATAAGGCTTTCAAATATTAAATCCCAATTTAAGGCAGGCGGATTTAAATCAAGATAAAGCCATAAAGTTGACGTGCTGCCATATGAGAAAAGATGAGCTAAAAAAGTTACTTTTGCGCATTTTTATGGCTTTCAATTGAGTGTCCCGGGGTCTTGATTAAATTCCGATGCACGCCCGCATCCTCGGGCGGAGCATCCGCTGCTCCAGCCCCCAAAATGCAATGAGTCAGTTGCAGAAAGTGGCGGCCCCACTTCACCCACTTCACATACACACATTTGTTGTGGTGTGCTCATGTGGCACACAAAATGTTCAGGGGATGCGGATGTGGATGCGGATGGGATGCGGAAGGGATGCGGATGCGGATGCAGGAGCAGGTCCGCAGACTGCGTTGTTGCTACGTGTTCCATATTTCATTCTAATTTATTCAGTTGTGCATACATATTTTCGTTACGGGTTGCCTCCTCGGCGCATCCATGCATTTCCTTCTGGCTGGCTCGCTTCGTTTGCTTCAAACTATCGCAAAGGCAACTGCAGCTGCCCCACCACCTGAGCCACCATACAGTGGTTCTTCTACGTAGCTTCACAAATTCTTTTTGACAATGAGGTTCTCTGCTCAATACAATGCTCAGTGAATTAATCCAGAAAAAGTGATATCTGTTTCGGAATTTATGTACAAGAATTCTAAAAGATCCTGATCCTAGAGAAGATTTAACTTAAGATAACTTTAAAATTCATAATGAATACACAATTTTAAGTGGGTTCAATTATGAATTAAACTACAATGACTTAAGAAATTTATGTCTGAATTATTTTCTAGAATTATTGCTAGAAAATAATATTTTTTGTGTATTAAGTGGTAATAAATTTTGTACGAAGTTAGAAATTAAAATATATTTGGTTTGAGTAATATTTAAATTAGGTTATAATTAAGATGACAAAATAATAATAACATTTTATGTCTTAACCTAACCTTTCATTTCTCACAGGAATATACAAAGTTGACCCAATGTGCATCTCTACCTCTCCGTCGAAAGTGGTGCTCAGTGGCTCGCCTATGATTTAGCCCTCTTTAAAGTTTCACCGCTTTGCCAGCACACATCTCGGCGCATTTCGCCATAATTGTGGCTCAATTACATGGAAAAGTTACCAAATTGAATTTTTAAATTCTCCCTCCGGGCAAATCGCTGGCAAATAATTTATGGGAATAACCCACCCGTTTTCTTTCCGTTTGCAGTTCGGGCTGCTTCGGTTTACGGTTATTTGCGCTGACTAACACCTTATCGAATTTCCATAAACTCGAACAGATGCTGCAACATGAACGGAACGAACCCATATGATGGCAAATCTAAAGCTGGATTTACATTTTCAAAAATTGTAGGTTCAGCATGTGGTGTGCGATTACAGCTTCAATAATAACGCTCGCAATTTCAGCAATAGTAAAATATTTGACATTAGTACTTTTCCCCTCCATTTATGCCATATAATTTTGTTTTTAAACCCACTGCAACCACTAAAGTTAACCACTTGGTAGACTGTGGATTTATTTACTGCTCACAGTTCACTGTCATATCTCTGCCACCGGAAACGGAAGTGACGAAGCAACAAAATAAGGACCATGCGCATATGTCGCAGTGCAGTTACTCACATTGTGCTCGTCCGGACCAAAATCGGTTGACTGAAAAATGCCGGCACATTCTCGTCCATTAGCGAATGTGTTTTGATGAAGTTCAATGTGGGATCCGGAAGCGTTCTCGAATCGTTGTGACAGGAACCAGGACGAGGCTCGGGCACCTAAAAGGAACAACACACACAAAAGGTATATAGCACATAAATATTGATAAAAACAAGAGAGAATGCTATAGTCGAGAACTTCGACTATCAGATACCCGTTACTCATCTGAAGGGAGTGCGAGGGAAATGGAGATATGCAGTCATCAAAGCTACTCGCGCCATCTAGAGGCTGTTAAAAGTTGTAATTTAAAATTTTTGCTCATAACTTTTTAATGAATGGTCCGATTTGAAAAAATTCTTCTAAATTTTAATAGGTATTTGTAAACACAACCAAATTTCATTTATACTTTTCCTTAATCTTTAAAGATGTGAGCGCCCCACACATTTAAAAGTGGGCATGGCGCTCGGCTGAAACGAACTTGCACTGCGTAAGAAGCCAAGAATATTAATCCAAACATTTTAGCATTTGTAGTTTCTGAGACCTCAGCGTTCATACAAACAGACGGACTTTTGCACGAAAAGAGTATACCCTTTTACTCTACGAGTAATGGGTATAATTACTCTACGAGTAACGGGTAGTATATATTTTATGAATTTTACTATAATGCAATTCTTTTTTAGCAAAGGTTGCTTTTATTTATGCCCCCTTTTAAGTCCCAAAACCTCATGGCAAATGAGGACAAAATCCAAATCGATGGCGACATGTGAAGTCATCTGCTGGAAATTGGCAAAGGCATTCGAGATGCAAATGCAAATCTTGTGCCAAACGAAAAATACATTTTTATGGCAAGTCGGCCATAAGTCATAAATTCCCCAGGCAACAGATGTGCTGGAGTGCGGTCGCAAGAAATTCCGGACTTCGGATTTCAACACTTAAGGACAGGACTTACCTTGGCATTGTTTACTGGCAGCCAGTTGGAGTTGATGCCGCTCTGCTCCTTGAACTGCCCCTCAAACGTATCGGCTATGTCCTGCGGATGGGGAAAAAAGGGAGCAAAATTTAATTTTCCATTTCAAGAAACAATTCAATGGCAGCCAAACTCACCTGCAGGGCAAAGGCACAAACCGCTGAGCCGGGAATTGAGTTGCTCGGCGTGTTGAAGACTCCGTAGATCAGCTTCGAGCTCATCGAGCCATACTGTCCCTCCACCAGATTGCTGGCCGATTCTATGTTTGTCGGATAAATAGAAAATCTTATAGTTGCCGTAAAGTATTTTACTTATTTATTTACTGATTACACTAGTTTACAGCCAAAATATATAAACGCTGGGACCCTTTTTTTCGTTTACTATTAGGTCACTGAACACGATGAAGAAAAAAAAAATTTTTCCAAAGAATAGTTTTGGAGATATTTGAAAAAGCTAGATTTTTGACCACTTGTTTTATTAAATGTAACAGTTCTCAAAAACCGATGGTCCAAAAAATTTTTACCTGGCACCTTTCGAAAGGAAATAGATGCACCTTTCCGAAAAGGTATGGCGCTTTATGATCGGACCAAAATTGATGGACATATAGCGTCTGAAAGTTTCAAAAAAGATTCATTTTTGGCTTTTTTTTTTCATAGCTAGTTTTCAATAATTTTTTAATAATATTAATAAATATTTGTAAATTATTTTGAGTATGCAGATCTGAAGGGCCGTTAGTCCCAAAAAGTTGAGGCCGAATATTGGCAAATCGGGTGTACAATCTAGGAGATATGCATAGTTTAGTAAAATGACTCAAAGTCATCACAAGTCAGCAGTGGTACCAAAAATGTTTTTCAGGGCAAGTCGCCCGTTTTGCGATTTCCAATTTCGAGAAACGATCAAAATAGTGTCATGTAATGTATGTACACTTGATTCAAAGACATTTAATTTGTTTAAAAAAAAAATCGAGAAAGAAAATCTTTCGATTTTTTCGACAAAAATATGGTTTTCTATAAACACCTAGCCCCCCAAAAACATACAAATATTTAGACTCGGAAGAAGACTTTATTGTTTAAACTTTTCCGCGCATGATGGGAAGATACTTCCCGTACTTGCATCCAGCAATAGTCGCTTAATTAGGAGCTGGAGCTTGACTTTATTTGTCGTTTCTTACCAAAAAACATTTTTATTGTTGCACGTTTTCTTGCAAATATAGTTATTTACAAAGCCACTGGTTTAAAAATGTTGAGTGCTTAAAAATAAGAAATACACCTCTTAAAGCGATCATCCATAACATTTTTGTGCTTCGGATGATTCTTAACGGGGCTAGGTGTTTATAGAAAACCATATTTTTGTCGAAAAAATCGAAAGATTTTCTTTCTCGATTTTTTTTTTAAACAAATTAAATGTCTTTGAATCAAGTGTACATACATTACATGACACTATTTTGATCGTTTCTCGAAATTGGAAATTGCAAAACGGGCGACTTGCCCTGAAAAACATTTTTGGTACCACTGCTGACTTGTGATGACTTTGAGTCATTTTACTAAACTATGCATATCTCCTAGATTGTACACCCAATATTCAGCCTCAACTTCTGCATACTCAAAATAATTTTAAAATAATTATTAATATTATTAAAAAATTAATAAAAACTAGCTATGAAAAAAAAAAGCCAAAAATGAATCTTTTTTGAAACTTTCAGACGCTATATGTCCATCAATTTTGGTCCGATCATAAAGCGCCATACCTTTTCGGAAAGGTGCATCTATTTCCTTTCGAAAGGTGCCAGGTAAAAATTTTTTGGACCATCGGCTTTTGAGAACTGTTACATTTAATAAAACAAGTGGTCAAAAATTTAGCTTTTTCAAATATCTCCAAAACTATTCTTTGGAAAATTTTTTTTTTTCTTCATCGTGTTCAGTGATCTAATAGTAAACGAAAAAAAAGGGTCCCAGCGTTTATATAGAAAAACGAGGACGGAAGCTAACTTCGGCAAGCCGAAGTTTTAATACCCTTGCAGATTTCACTAATGAAAACTTGACTAAAAAAGCAAATTGAATTAATAAACAGCAAAATATTCTAAAATTGAAAAAAATAAAAATTTTAAATTTTTCACCCTATTGTTCCTATGGGAGCTATATGATATAGACGTCCGATCGGCACGCGCTTTTACCCTGATCAAGGTACGCACAAAAAAATACGATTTGGAAAGTTTCATGGGAATAGCTTATATTTTGCGCGAAATATCCTGAAAAACGTCAAATTTTGACCGATTTCACCCTATTGTTCCTATGGGAGCTATAAGATATAGACGTCCGATCGGCACGCGCTTTTACCCTGATCAAGGTATGCGTAAAAGAATAAGATTCATGTCAAAAGCTTTTACACTGAGCGAAATATCTTCATTTTGTGAAAGCTATATCCGATTGTTCCTATGGGAGCTATAGGATATAGACGTCCGATCGGGTCGGCTTTCAAACTTGATCTGCGTACACATGTTTTAGGACGACTGTGAAAGTTTCAAGGCGCTAGCTTTTAAACTGAGCTCGCAAACGGTATTGAAACAGACGGACAGACGGACATGGCTATATCGACTCCCCTATTGATCCTGATCAAGAATATATATACTTTATGGGGTCGGAAACGTCTCCTTCACTGCGTTACAAACTTCTGACCAAAATTATAATACCCTCTGCAAGGGTATAAAAATCAAAAATTGTAAACTAGTGTTATTTATTTATTTAACTGGGTTTAATATTATAAAAGTTTCATTTTTTTTAAGGAAATTATTTCTAAAGAATTAATGCGTCCATTAAACTTTTATGTTTTTAATCTGCGCATTCAATTTAAAATAAATTAAAGTTTTTTGCTTACAAAAAATGATGTCCGCTTTGGACAGTTAATTAAGTTTGAATAACAGAAAATGGTATGCAGTGCAGGCCATGAATGGTTTAAAGCTTTATTATTATTTTTTCTAAAACTGTTCAGGAAATTATATTTATAAAACTTTAGTATATTTTCTATGGCTAATAATAATGAAAAACAGGTATATTTAAGTATTTGCACGGCTTTGCACAGATTACCCGCTTTAAAAACCCGAAATACTTACGGATTTCGTTGAAGTAGAAAGGATAATCGCCAGGAATGGAGCAGTTGAGGCGGGACTTGAGGAAGGACGTCCAGCGGTTGCGGAATCGATGCGGGCCACCTTTGTCCCACTTGCAGACGCGGGCGACGCGCGAATAAATCGCCTGAAAAGACCACCGAAAGATAAGATATTAATTCTGCTCAGCTTGGGGCTAGCAATTGTCTGGATATTGAGGACCAACAAATGCGACAATCTGCGCAGCATAAATAAACCAATGGAGAATGCCGAACATCAGCAGTTATTTTGTCCAACTTTGTTTGTATTTTCGTTGCGTTTGATTGCATTTGTTGTTGCTCCCCAAATTGATTGGAAAACTCTGCTCCGTTGGCATGTGTACTCACCTTGCCGCAGTTGATGAACTCTACAGCGGTTTCCCGAAAGAAGAAATAGACAAAGTCTCCCTGCGTAAATGAGCTCACAAAGTTCGGTGCTGCGAAACAACAAAAAATTGCAAAAAGTTCGGTCATCAAATTCATTTATAGTTTTTGAGATTGTAAACATTTTTATAGCTGTCAGTTTTCAAATATTGTCAATTTTCATGGATTTATGATGTACGCGTGTGGCTATTTGAGGGTATTATATGACGTCAGTCGGTTACTGATTTTATGAGTTCATTTATATGCATTAGGGTGTGTCAAGAAGCGTAGCATAAAGTTTGCGATTGCACTTAATATTTTGGAAATAATGTTATAATTTAAATGTTGTAGTCTTTTAGTTAACAAAATGTATAATAATAATAATAAGTTACGAACTGTTTATACTTCTTTTTAAGAAAAGAGTCACAAAATCTAGATAATGAATGTTGAATTAAAATCAAACATTTTCCGCTATAAAATTGAAATGATTCAATTTGGAAGCAATGACAATTTGATAATTTCTGATTTATTTGCTCGCTATACTTTGGATTGGTGCGATTTGCAGTGATTTACTCAAGAGTCTTTTGAGTCATAGTTTCCGATACAGGTCCAATGGGGTATTTAATATAAATTATGAAGTCTGTCGCACATCTTCAGTGGTAAATGACAGTCGAACGTGCCATGTCGGTTCGGCCTCAGATTCAGTTAATGGAAGCTGAACATGGCCAAGGCCCTTGAAATATGCAAAAGGCAATCGCGCGCCATCGTAACTGACATTCGACAGGACACCATGGACAATCATGGGCGCCGAAAGGGAGTGTTGGGGACGCAGGACTCGCACTGCGCTTATAAAACGGAAGCGCCGTCCTGACAGGGTCCATGACATTTTCAATTACCACAAGTGGCTAAAATCGCACCCAGGAACCAGGAACTTACCGTTGAGACTTAGGCTATCGTACTGCTCGGTCTGCAGGGGTTCTCGGTAGATAATCGGATCGCTGCCGCTGAAATCAGCCACGGTTCCGGAATACAGTTCGTTGTCTGCAAAGAAGGTAGAAAAATAATATAATGTAGTAAATATTGAACAGTTACAACATTTTCAAGGTATGAGAAAACCAAATAGTCGCCATTTAAACAGGCTTTAGATGCCGGAGATAACTGCCAATTACTTGTAATTCTATTACCTGCAAGAACAGCACATTTTCAATTCAATTTTCCTCACAAATTTCTACAAGTGCATTTATTATGCATTAAAGAGAAGACATCTGGAGTATTATAAAGTATTTATCAATTGCTGCTCTTCGGGCACCACTCAACACACATACGCCCTGTTGGCTGGCTAAATGTTAGCGACAAATTCCATTAAGCTAAACGACAACATTGAGGGGAAAAGTTTGACATGTCTTCTTGGATGGCATTGAATTCGCCTGCGGCCACATTGAGAAGATAAATGAGATTTTCTTGTTTTTATTTTGTCGTTTTGATTTTTGTTTGTGCAACGAATTGGCTCGCGCTTGTCAGAGGCTTCGGCTTTGGCCTTTGTCCTTGTCGAGCTCCGGCAGCAATAAAATAAAGACAGCCAGTGAAATAAATATGGAAAAAGAGAATCAAGCCCGAACAATAGAAACGGAAATTCCGAGCGGGTGCTTATTGTCTGGCCGGAAATGGTTTCGCTATCTCAGTACCTCCATGCAAAAAGCTAGCAGAGAAAGCATCAAATGCTCCACACGGCATCCCACATATATTTCAATATATGTATCTCGTTTATACAAAAACGTATTCCCTATATAAATTCTACACATTTTCTATCAGCTAAAAATTCCCACTCACAAAAGGTTGGTAAGGTCACGAAAATATTGATAAGTTACACTATAAAAATAATATTTGTAAAAAAAACAAATGAGATGTTTAAGAAATATTTTTAAAAACTGCTATCACTTTTAAAACTATTAATTATTTTCTTATTGGTTATTAATGATAATACATGGGCAAATATATGTTTAATATCAAGAAAAAATACGGAATTTGTTTGAGTTTCACAATATTTATGTATTGGTAATAAATTCAACTCTGATTGTCAGAGGTAGTACCAACACATATGTTTTATAGGTGATAAGAATGTTTTCGTTATTATAAAGGAATGAGATTCTGGAGCTTGAGCACTGCCAGTTTTGGCAAAGGGTCAGTTCAGTTGGGATGAATTCATAGTTTTTTTCTGATCAAAATGCGTTTCACAGCTTGTTTTCTAATATTTAGTTTTTGTCTGCAATACTCAATAGCAAGTCGTCTGGTAAGGAAATAAAATAAAAGGAAAATCTCATCCACTAATATTTTCAACCGATACAGGTCGAGTATAGGGACTTTTCTAAAAGCGTCTCCGAGTATATTTTGGAAATGAAGAAAGATCTTACGACGAAATTACAAAGTATGTTGGATCAACAAGCCGAAAAACTAAACCAACTCGTATCGGAGCAGAGTGCTCGATCAAGTGACAATGCCAGGGAAACTTTAGCAGAAGAGCTATGGAACTTTGAATGTTCCAAGCCTCCTCGCACCACAAAATGGTGTGCACAGATTGGGGAAAAGCACTACTTCATCGACTATCTCCGGACTGCCACCTGGTCAGAGGCCGATGGAATTTGCCGCCAAATGGGAGGACACCTGGCCAGTTTGCAAAGCAATCAGGAGTGGCAAGCACTCGAGGGGATTGTCAGCCATAGCCGATTCTTTTGGCTGGATATCAATGACGTGGCATCCAAGGGCAAATACGTGTCTGAAACCACCGGCGAAAATGCTACTTTTCTGAAGTGGGATCACAACGAACCGAATAATTGGAACGGGAATGAAAACTGTGTTCACCTAAAGGCTGTTACATTCTTAATGAATGACGTTTCCTGCAGTTCGACCTACAATTTCATCTGCGAGCGCTAACAAATTTGGTATACGATAAATTAGAGAGATTAAGGGACGTTTTCTCCTAAGAATCCTGTATGTTCCTTCTTGCCAAATCGCTTCTATATTTTAGTTTAATCAATTAATTATCAACATTGTGGTTGAATTTGCTAAAGTACATTAGCACATATAAATTAATATTATTATTGTGATATATAAGGTTTACCGTAAAATTTATTTAGAGATTAAACTTTGGTGTTTGATAATATATTAAGCATTAATTATCGAAAGAAATTCAATATTGGTGGATAGATTTTTCTAGCTTTGATTGATGTAATCCTTGTAGGCGAAAATTACTTGTTTGTAAGTTCCATGGACCGGGTAAATGAGCGATGGGCGCTATTTCAATAGAATTTCATGATTATGGCCTTGCGAAGTTGAGCGCATTTTGTGATTTTTGGTCGTGTTTTTGGGTTGGCCTATGACGGCCTCTCGGTAATCTATCAAATTTACAGCGCGGCACGTGGGCGTGGCAGGTATGTATATAGAAGGGCGGAATGGAAAATGGGAATTACGGAACAGGAACGTGAGCGGCAAAATGTGAACATGAATCGCGCAAGCGACTAGAGAGGTACATTAATTTAACAACAAGCCACATTAAAAGCGTCGTCTGCAACAAATTAATTTTTCCCACCACCAGCGCGAAATACTGCTATTATTAGCCCCCCAAGAAACCCCCTGGTTCGTCGGCAGACGAGTGCTTAAATTAAGAGGCTGTAAAAGTCACGCGGTGAGTGAAAAGCGAAAGTGGGGGAAGTACCAAAAAGTCCCCCATTTCAGAGGTGGGGGTGCAGGAAACGGAAGGGGGTTGCCAAAGCAGCAGACGGGGGCCAGGTGGGGCTAACGGCCAATAAAAACAATTTCTCAAGCTGAGTTAATGGGCAAGGAATCTTGAATCCAAATCATTAAATGTGTTGTAGAATATATTCAAAATTGAAAAGTTAAAGAATTTCATAAATGAAATCCATTTAAAGTAGGCGATATCGATTCTCTGTACAAAATAACGAATTAATTTCCTTAAATTTGGGATAGATACAAGTTTTAAAAATCTTACTTAACAATCTTGACTCTTTGAAGTATTTTGAGTACTTACAATAAAAAAAACTAATTTTTTATTTACGCAGTTCTTTCTTTCTAATAAATCAAATAATTTATTAATATTCACAGAGGTCTTAAAATAATAATTATACCCGTTACTCGTAGAGTAAAAGGGTATATTGTATTCGTGCAAAAGTATGTAACAGCTAGAAGGAAGCGTTTCCGACCCCATAAAGTATATATATTCTTGATCAGGATCACTAGCCGAGTCGATCTAGCCATGTCCGTCTGTCCGTCTGTCCGTCTGTCTGTCTGTCTGTCCGTATGAACGCTGAGATCTCGGAAACTATAAAAGCTAGAAGATTGGCATTTTGCATGCAGATTCTAGGAGCTCCTACGCAGCGCAAGTTTGTTTCAAAAAGGTGCCACGCCCCCTCTAACGCCCACAAGCCCCCTCTAACGCCCACAGCTTTGAAGCTATTATGAAAATAGTAACTGATATGTATTCGCTTCGTCAATAACTATCGATTGGCCAAGTAAAAAATTGCCACGCCCACTCTAACGCCCACAAACCCAATAAACGCTTAAACCTGGCCAGCGCCTACATTTCCACCTTTCATGACCAGTAGTACCAATATCTGGCGGTAGATGGCGCAATACAATATACACTAGCGCCATCTAGAAAATGGCATTGGAAAAAATCTGTCTTTTTTTCTGTGGTCACTCTAATTCACATAATGTTAATGCAAATTTTAAAATATTTGAAATGGGGCGCGCATTTTTGTCTCTTTTTGCTCGTATACGTTTTTCACAAGTGCATTCACCTGCGCTAGAGAGAGACGGAAGATGTGCTAGGCAGAATTGAAAGTTCTAGAAAGCCTCTTCTAGAAAGAGATCCCTGGGTAAAAATCGAGCGGCGAAAAACATATAAGAAGGCATATTTCTATTAAGTTGTTTAGCTGAGTAATGGGTATCTAATAGTCGAGGCACTCGACTATAGCGTTCTCTCTTGTTTTAAATAAAATTAACCTTTAAACATTGAAAAGAACTAGATTTTATTAAATAGATAAGTAATTTTTATTAGATATCCTACTTAAAGTTATCGATTTAAATTCCGGAACTTAAAGCTTGCGTTGGCTAAGAAAACGTCAAAAACTTTTGCTTAAATGCACGTAATTAACAATGAGAATGCAATTAGCATGGCGACCGAAGGATGTCATTGTTGTAGTTGTATTTAGGAGTACGTTTTTTGCTGCACCGAGCAGCTTTCTTTGGCCTTCGCTAACAAGGCGAACAATGGGATAGGATACCTGCCCCATCGACCCGTCGACCTGTCGCAACATCGACAGGACACGAAAAGTTGCAGCTGCCACCTTTGGCCTTCGCTGTCCTCGCTGCATCTAATTGGTTTTTGTTTGTGTGTGTGTGTGCTTTCCGCCCCGCCTCCTTACTTTCCTTTCCCTTACGCCCTGTCTTTCTCCTTCTCGTCATTGTTTCGTGCAGCGACGTTTGCTTTTATTGTTTGCTCATTATAACGCCAGTTACCTGACGACCCACGTCCCACCGAACAGGACTCGGACTCAAAATCCGACTCAGACTGAGGCTTTGGCAACTTTTCCGCATTGCAGCAATTGCCCGGGCTTAACTCATTTTAAATGACAATCTAGCGTGCAAAAATTATGCACATCGGCCCTGTCTTTGCCCCGTCTCTTTCGCACATCGGGCCTCTCTAGGCGCTTCTCATAAAGTCTTGGTCGGCTCCTCGCACAGTTTCAAAACGTTTTCGCTGCTTCTGACTGTGGCATAAAGTTCGATAAACTCTTTAAGTGATTTAATCGATTTTCTGGGCTAGCCGAGGGAAGCGGAAAATGCTCTTTAGAGCGACGGGAACAAGGCGTAATGAAAGTTCATCGCGTTGACTGCGGCAATTTGCATATTTTTGCATGTTTTATTATGCGGCTGGCATACACACACGAGCACACGCTAATACATAAATTACACTCATTTTCAATGACAGGACGGACTGGGACAGGGACAGAGGGTACAAATAACGAGGGCACCGGCGGGAATCGAGTTGGGACAGGCAAAGCTTTATTACCGGAACGTTGTGTTTTAAATATTTGATATCTAACACATGCACTCACGTCCAAACACACTTATAATTGCCTTTTTTCAGGGTCTGAGCATAAACATTGTTTTTTGGCCCTTGCCTAATACCTTGAATTACGTTCATTCCTGCCTGCGTATGTCGAGTGCAGGGTCCTTAGTTAAATAGCCCACTTAAGAGTAATTACCCTCAACCGTGTACGTTTACATTATGCATATCAATGTATTTCTGCATAGACGCTTAGAGTACAATCGTCAGCTGTGAGCCAATACGGCAAATTGCTTAATTTGATGGAAATGACCGGAAATATAAAGTGGTGAAAGATAACGTTCGTGCACGTTGCAGTATTATTCAGACGACGTTGAAGTATGAAGCATGATAATCATTAAACTGGAAGACTGAAATATGTGGAATTAAATTTGTGCTTTGACAAACAATAGATTAAACTATTATTATAAGACCTTATGCTTAATATCATATATGGGTTTAACATTAAACTTTGTCTACTGAGTTTCTTTACTTTAAGAAATAGATTCGATTTCCAAACGAAATTTGTGATTTTTAAGGACCCTATGCCTATCAATTAGGTAAATTACACTATACGGCTGACCTAGTTTAGACGGCAAGATATCCTCGTCTTAAGCCCCAAGAGCAGCCACCCAATCTATGAGCCAAGGCTTTAATTACACTCGCTGGCTGAGGGCCCAGTGAACACATTTTCTTTGCCATTTTTGTGTGTTATCAATTTTCGACTGTAATTACACTTCACTTGTACTCTTATAGAAATGCAGACGTTGGGGAATAACGAGGGACTGGTTATGGTGGAAAAGTTTTGGCAACATGTGCGCCCCTCTGTAGCAGTTTCGCATTTGCTCCACTTTCATTACTCTTTTTGGCTTTTTGTTGCCGTTCGCCCATCTTTGTTCTGCTGGTGCTTTTCTATTCCCATTGTTTTTGGGGATTTTGAAAATTTGGCAATTAGCTTAATTCGCTTTTTATTGGCGCACCACAATTATCAGCTCTTGGTCGCTCTTTAGCCAGATTTGCATTTCCAGATGCATCTGCCTGTGAATCTGGCACTGCGCTTATAAACGATCGAATTAAAAGTTAATGTCTTTCCAGTCTTTTTCCCAAATGGATGTTCAAGTAATGGTCTGGGGCCAATGTTTCCAAACTTAAGTTTGGCTGGTCTTCTTTTCAGTGATTTTTGGGAGCATTTGAGTGTTTTCTGCACACAGAGATTTAACGCAGAACACACGTAAAAACATGAGAAAAATTATAAATTTGTTCTAATATACTTAGAATTTTTTTCTGTTGTTTTTTAATGATCGGATTTTCTGTCCTAAAGCGGAGCAGACAATCAGCATGGTAAGTTTATTACTTGACAACCAATTAAATTATACATGTCGGTATCATAAGTTAAAGCGATTTTGAAGTTTAGAAGATTAAGGTATGCTGATGGGATAAATGAGATAATTGTGGGAGATATGAAGCCTCACCAAAATATCACCTCAAGTTAAAATTATTTTCCGAAAATATAAAAATTGTATATACACTCTCAGATACATAAAGATTATGCATGTGCAGAGAGGATCCAGGATTTTTGCTGTTAAGGGGGATTCCGAATGAGTTGCTATCTAATTTGCAATTCAGAAAGGAAGTAAGCCGGGAGAAGAGTAGTGACGCCCTCAAGGAAATTATAGAGAAGGGAAATAGAAAGTGAAAGGGAAAATTGGAACGATGGAGGGACCGAATTCCCTTTTCCACTGTACTAAAGTCACTTTTTTAATGTCTCTACCGATGAAACGAAAATCTCATATTTATTTTATTTTCTACCCCCTTTTTTGTTTTTATAATATGTTAAATTGTTGTATTTCAAATATACAAATTTTAGATATCTTCTAAATAGAAAACATTAGAATCGTTAGAATAATAATAATAAGATTGAGTCAAATGTTGATCATTTTGGCAACATTTTATTTTAGCGTTGATTGCAGCAAAATAAATAAATAATGTTGGTACCAATTTAAAATGGTTGATAACCTTGACTGTTCTATATATTC